GCACAGCGGGTAGGGCGTTTGCCTTGCATGCAGCCGACTTGGGTTCAATCCCCAGCATCCCATATGGTCCCCCGGGCACCGCCAGGGGTAATTCCTGAGTGCAAAGCCAGGAGTGACCCCTGAGCATCGCCGGGTGTGACCCAAAAAGCAAAAAACCAAAAAAAAACCCAAAAACTTACAACTCGGCACATACGCTGCCTGAGCTCATGTGCTGGTTGTGCCCACGTGGCCAAGCACATGTGGTGCCCGAGCACATGTGTCACCCACATCTCCCCTCTTGAGATGTGGACTTTCATGCTTTCGTGTCTAATGCTAGGATGTGTGTAGGGGCTCTCTCCGCCCTTGGAGAAGCCCGTGTTCTCTCTTGAGTGTGTTTCTCTCTCTCTCTCTCTCTCTCTCTCTCTCTCTCTCTCTCTCTCTCTCTCTCTCCCCACACCTTAAAAATCCTCCAAATAAAATCTATTTTTTTAAAAATAAAACACCTACAACCCTACAACACTGTAGCACTGTCCTCCAGTTGTTAATCGATTTGCTCGAGCGGGCACCAGGAACATTTCCATTGTGAGAATTGTTGTTACTGTTTTTGGCATATTGAATATGCCACAGGGAGCTTGCCAGGCTCTGCCGTGCGGGTGGGATACTCTCAGTAGCTGTAAATTCTTTTATTTCTTCTTTTTTTTTTTTTTTGCTTTTTGGGTTACACCAGCAACACTTAGGGGTAATTAATTCCTGGCTCTACACTCAGGAATTAGTTCTAGCAGTGCCCGGGGGAACCATATGGGATGCCGGGGATCAAACCAGGTTGGACATATGCAAGACAAATGCTCTACATGCTGTACTATTGCTCTAGGCCAAGATGAAAATTCCTCTAAAATGACCTGGGAGAGAGCTCTCAGGGCCACTGGGCAAGCTTTGCCTACATGCTCAACCCCCTGCAGCCCCCCAATTGTGACCCCTGAGAAATATACAGGGAGTAGCTCCTGAGTACTGCAGGGTGTGTCCCAAAAATCTGAAAAGAAACCCAAGGGCCGGAGAGAAAATACTATGGGTAGGTGTGTGCCTTGCACGTGGCCTATCTGAGTTTGATCCCCAGCACCCAAGATGGTCCCCTGAGCACCGCCAGGAGTGATCCCTGAGCACAGAGCCAAGAATAACTCCTGAGCACCACCAGGTGTGTGCCAAAAACAAAAAACAAAAGCAAAACAAATGAAAATAAAATATAGTTGGCAACTGACTTAAAAAGCAACTCACAAATGGTCAGCCTGGAGCCAACGAAGGAGGGAGGGAGGGAGGGAGGGAGAGAGGGGAGAGAGGGAAGGAGGGAGGAAGGGAAGGAAAGAAGGAAGAAGAGAGGAAGGGAGGGAAGGAGAGAAGAAAGGGAGGGAAGGAAGGAGGGAGGGATGGAAAAAGGGAGAAATGGAGGAAAGAAAGAAAGAAAGAAAGAAAGAAAGAAAGAAAGAAAGAAAGAAAGAAAGAAAGGAGGGAGGGAGGGAGGGAGGGAGGGAAGGAAGAAAGAAAGAAAGAAAGAAAGGAGCGAGGGAGGGAGGGAGGGAAGAAAGAAAGAAAGAAAGAAAGAAAGAAAGAAAGAAAGAAAGAAAGAAAGAAATCTGAGCATCCGCCATGCGTAGAACAAACCCTGGAGGATTCTTGCTTCCATGGTATTCTGAACCATCTGCAACAAATAATAAATAAATACATGCAAACAGGGGCTGGAGAGATAGCACAGCAGGTAGGGCATTTGCCTTGCACGCGGCCGACCCGGGTTCGATCCCCAGCATCCCATATGGTCCCCTGAGCACCGCCAGGAGTAACTCCTGAGTGCAGAGCCAGGAGTAACCCCTGTGCATCGCCAGGTGTGACCCAAAAAGAAAAAAAAATACATGTAAACAGGGGCTTGAGGTACCTACAGTGGGTAGGGCACTTGCCTTGCAAGTGGCCAACCTGGGTTCAATTCCTAGAGCCCCATACTGTCCCCCTAACCCTGCCAGGAATGAACTCTGAACAAAGAGCCAGGAGTAAGCCCTGAGCACTGCCAGGTGTGGCCCCAAAACCAAAAAACACAAAACAAAATACATGTTGAATACATTTATACCAGAACATGCAACAAGATGATCAGAGAGGTGGTCAGGAAGGAGGGGACCTCTTTTGAGGACTCCCCTGCACCTCTCTGGGTTCTTCCCAGACTGGCCCAACCATCAGAAACCCAGCCAGAGCAGCAGGAGGAAAACAGATATAATTCCATATGTGGGGTATCTGCAGAGATGCAAGGCTCTCTAAGGAAACGAGGCAGAACAGGGGCAGAATTGGGCTCAGGCACAGAAAGCCTGTTGCTTCAAAGGACGGAACACAGGACTCATGGGGTGAGGAGAGGGTGGCTCAGAACACACACACACACACACACACACACACACACACACACACACGAGAAAAGGAAAGAAAGCTATCGTGAACATGTGGTGTTTCTAGTTGACTTTAGCTCAAAATAGAACACACTCCAGAGTGCATCCTCTTGGGAGGAGCCCTCTAAGGTCATGGAGCCTTCCAGATCAACAGAGCAGAACCTCCACTTACAATGGTCTGCTAATCTTACAGGGGGCCAATGCCTTTGCAGGAAGCAACTGAATAGCCACGTGCAAAACAGCATTTTGGGGTCTGTAACACAAAGCAGGTGACAATCAACTAAAAAACCGATCGCAGAGCTAAATGTACATCCAAAAAGCCAAAAGGTATGAGACAGAAGAAGGAACAGAAGAAAAATCTTTGCGACCTCAGGTTGTTACAAAGGCAGATGAAGAGTGTTTGAGATCAGAAGCCTTTTGGGAAACTCGAGTCTATGAGTTGCTATGAGATGCTACCGACTCACCAACTGAGGATGGCTGAAAAGAACATGCCATGGGGCCAGAGAGATAGTACAGTAGGCAGGGTCCCGGCCTACCTGCTCTTTGATTTCCAGTATCCTGTATGGTTCCTCAAGCCTGCCAGGAGTGGAATTACCCCTGAGTACTGCCATGTGTGGCAGAGAGAAGAAAGAAAGAAAGAAAGAAAGAAAGAAAGAAAGAAAGAAAGAAAGAAAGAGAGGAAGAGAGAAAGAGAGAAAGGAGAAAGGCAGGGAGGAAGGGAGGGAAGGAGGGAGGGAGGGAGGGAGGGAGTGAGGAAGGAAGGAAGGAAGGGAGGGAGGGAGGGAGGGAAGAGGGAGGGAGGGAAGAAGGAAAGAAAGAAAGAAAGAAAGAAAGAAAGAAAGAAAGAGAGGAAGGAGAAAGGCAGGGAGGAAGGGAGGGAAGGAGGGAGGCAGGGAGGGAGGGAGTGAGGGAAGAGGGAGGGAGGGAAGAGGGAGGGAGGGAAGAAGGAAAGAAAGAAAGAAAGAAAGAAAGAAAGAAAGAGAGAAAGAGAGAGAGAGGAAGGAGAAAGGCAGGGAGGGAGGGAGGGATGAAGGAAGGAAGGGAGGGAGGAAGGAAGGGAGGGAGGGAGGGAGGGAGGGAGGGAGGGAAGAGGGAGGGAGGGAAGAAGGAAAGAAAGAAAGAAAGAAAGAAAGAAAGAAAGAAAGAAAGAGAGAGAGAGAGAAAGAGAGAGAGGAAGGAGAAAGGCAGGGAGGGAGGGAGGGAGGGAGGAAGGAAGGAAGGAAGGAAGGAAGGAAGGAAGGGAGGGAGGGAGGGAGGGAAGGAGGGAAGAGGGAGGGAGGGAAGAAAGAAGGAAAGAAAGAAAGAAAAGAAAGAAAGAAAGAAAGAAAGAAAGAAAAAAAGAAAGAAAGGAAAGAAAGAGAGAGAGGAGAGAGAGGGAGGGAGGGAAGGAGGGAAGGAAGGAAGGAAGAGGAAGGAAGGAAGGAAGGAAGGAAGGAAGGAAGGAAGGAAGGAAGGAAGGAAGGAAGGCAGGCAGGCAGGCAGGCAGGCCAGCCAGGCCCGGGGGCATCTGTGTGGCTGTAAGGGGCCAGAGCTTCTGCACTGCCCGAGGGTACAAAAGGGCACAGACACTGGGGGCAGCATCTTGGCAGTTTCTTAACCTGCTCCTCTGACATGACCCAGACATTCCAGACACATAGCCAGGAAAATACAAAAGCCAGGAAAAGACAACGCCTCGTGCATGAAAGCTTGTCACAGTTTGATTTCTCAGAGTCAAAAACCAGAAGCCACCCAAGTGGCCATCAAGTGAGTGGACATATGATTGGCCTGGCCAGACCATGCAGTGCTGCCAAGGGAGCCCTGACTTCACCACCACAAGGTGGGAAGTACTGACACACGCAAGAGTCACTTAAGGGTCACAATCACTGGGGTCAGGAGAGGCAGTACAGTAGGGACGGGGGTGGGGTGGGGGTGGGGACACTGACCTTGCATGTGGTCCACCGGGGTTCGATGGCCAGCACCCCATGTGATCCACTGAGCCCTGCCAGGAGTGATCCCTGAGTGCAGAGCCAGGAGCAAGTCTGAGCACTCTGGGTGCCCAAACAAACACTCCCTTAGCCCTAAACAAATTAATGGTCCACAGAGAATTGAAACAAAACATTTTGGGGGCCAGAGTAATAGTGCAGTGGGCAGGGCACTTGCCTAGCATGCAGCCAACCCTTGATCCCTGGCACCCCATATGCTGTCCCAAGCCTGCCAGGAGTGATCCCTGAGCACAGAGCCGGGAGTAAGCCCTGAGCATCGCCAGGTGGGGCCGAAACAAAATAAAACTTAGGATCACTTAAACCTGTGATGTGCTGAGTGAATTAAGCCAGACACAAAAAGAACACGCACCGCACGATTTTCATTAATACCAAACACTAGAAAATGCAACTTCATCCTCAGTGCCATCGGAGGGAAACACAGTGCCGGATGGTCCGACGAGGCAGGGAGCGTTAAGAGGTCGTGAATACGTGGGCGACCTTGACCGGGATTTGCTGGCACGGGTGCAGAGCGATGGCAAAAGGCACCCGACGCTTCGAAAAACAAAACGTGTGCATTTCATGAACGGTTACTGTGTCTGTTTGTAAGGGCCGTCTGCGCCCGGCGACACAGAGTTGGGAAGCTGTCCGGCGCGATCCAGACCGACCCAGGCGCCGAAGTCCGCCCTGGGGGGCCCATCCCGGGCCGGGCCCTGCAGTGCCGGGGTCGCCCTCCTGCGGGAGAGTGCTGGCAGGGAGCCGCGGCCACCGGGGCAGCGGCCCGAGTTAATGATCAGCGGCCGCGGCCCCGCCCCGGGGCGGCCCGCGCGCTGCCCCGCCCGAGCGCTGCGCGGGGCCCTTGGGAGCGCGCTCGGCCCCGCCGCCACCTGCGCCCGCCCGACATGGTGAGCGGGTGGCCGGGCGGGGCGGGGAGGGCGCGGGCTCGGGCGGGGGCGGCCCTGCGCCCGGAGGTGGGGGGCTGGCCCTGCGCCCCCGGGGTGGGGGTCTGGCCCTGCGTCCCCGGGGTGGGGGGCTGGCCCTTTGTCCCTGGATTGGGAGGCTGACCCTTTACCCCCGGGGTGGGGGTCTGGCCCTGCGTCCCCGGATTGGGGGTCTGGCCCTGCGTCCCCGGAGTGGGGGTCTGGCCCTTTGTCCCTGGATTGGGAGGCTGACCCTTTACCCCCGGGGTGGGGGTCTGGCCCTGCGTCCCCGGATTGGGGGTCTGGCCCTGCGTCCCCGGAGTGGGGGTCTGGCCCTTAGTTCCCGGATTGGGGGGTCTGGCCCTGCGTCCCCGGGCTGGGGGTCTGGCCCTGCGTCCCCGGGGTGGGGGGATTGGCCCTGCGTCCCCGGATTGGGGGTCTGGCCCTGCGTCCCCGGGGTGGGGGGACTGGCCCTGCGTCCCCGGATTGGGGGTCTGGCCCTGCGTCCCCGGAGTGGGGGTCTGGCCCTTAGTTCCCGGATTGGGGGGTCTGGCCCTGCGTCCCCGGGGTGGGGGTCTGGCCCTGCGTCCCCGGGGTGGGGGGCTGGCCCTGCGTCCCCGGATTGGGGGTCTGGCCCTGCGTCCCCGGGGTGGGGGGACTGGCCCTGCGTCCCCGGATTGGGGGTCTGGCCCTGCGTCCCCGGATTGGGGGTCTGGCCCTGCGTCCCCGGATTGGGGGTCTGGCCCTGCGCCCCGGGCTGGGGGGGTCTGGCCCTTAGTTCCCGGGGTGGGAGGGTCTGGCCCTGCGTCCCCGGATTGGGGGTCTGGCCCTGCGTCCCCGGATTGGGGGTCTGGCCCTGCGTCCCCGGATTGGGGGTCTGGCCCTGCGTCCCCGGGGTGCGGGTCTGGCCCTGCGTCCCCGGATTGGGGGTCTGGCCCTGCGTCCCCGGATTGGGGGTCTGGCCCTGCGCCCCCGGGTGGGGGTCTGGCCCTGCGCCCCGATCCCCCGCCTGTCGCAGCAGGGCGGCTGATCCCCGGGGGCCTGCCGCGGGCGGTGGGCGGCCCCGAGCGTCCAGGGAGCCCGGGCCCCGCCCGCTCCCGGCCCGCCGCGCCCGCCTGCGTTTGCGCGGGGCTCTGCGCGCTCCCTGCGTGCGCCCGGGCCGCGCCCAGCTCCCCGCGCCTGCCTGGGCCCAGGAGGCGGCCCTGGCGCCGGGTCCGAGGCGGGCGGCGGGCGGCGGGGACCTGCCCGGAGCTCGGAGGCCCGCGCTGGGCCCGGGGCCTGCGGGGCGGGGAGGGTCCCCCCAGACGGGCGGGCGGTGGGTCCTCAATTGCGCCCGCGCGGGCCCCCTGCTGGGCGCTCCGCTGATGACCGAGCAGCTGTCCACTCTGCTCCGGCCCCCAGTGTCCAAAGCGCAGGTCGCCCGCCCCGGCCCGCCCCGCCCCGCCCCCATGGAATTTGGGCCGATCCAGAAGGTCCTGACCGCCTTGGGTGGGCGGGCGGGCGGGTGGAGGGGGTCTGGTGCCGAGGCTGACTCCAGCCTCAGGTTGCCTGGATACGGGGCCAGGGATGGGGCTGAGAAGGGAGGGGGTCTCCACCGCCTTCCCAGGGAGAGGGAACAGACCCAGTGGCCTGGGTCCAGACAGCGCTGGTTTTCAGAAGGGGCAAAGAGTGAGCACTGCAGAGCTTTCCAGAACCATCCAGAAGAGCCAGGGGCTCACCCTGTAGGGCCGCGGGTGAGGGTGACAGCCAAGACCTGGGTTTGGGGACACACCCAGTGGTCAGGCAGCAGAAGAGGCCCTGGCCCATGGGGCCTGGCCTGTGAAAAATAAAAATGCAGATGACAGGGCCTAAAAAAGAAGGCGTTGCACGCCCATGGCTGAGCCGGGTTCCATCCTCCATCCCTGCCCTGAGTGGTCCTTGAGTGCAGAGGCAGGAGGAAGCACGGAGCACTGCTGAGTGAGGCCCAGCCCCGGGACTCTGGATCTTCCTACGGGCCTCTTGCTGCTCTGTGAAGGTGCTGTTCCCCTCCGTTCCCCTCCACCCTTCAGAATTGGGGCTTGGGGGCTCGACCCTGGGGCTTCGAGATCATAGGCTACCTCTTTTTTTTTTTTTTGCTTTCGTTTTCTTATTTTGGCCCTTGGGTCGCTGTGCAGTGCTCAGAGCTTAATCCTGACTCAGGACCGTATGGGATGTGGGGGATGGAGCCCGAGTGGGCCGTGTGCAAGGCAGGCGCTCTGCCTGCTGCACTATCGCTCAGGCCCCTGTGGGCTAACTCTGACAGCCGAGTTTATCCCTTTCCCACGTTCTCCTCAGATCCTATTATTTTCCTTCAGCACTCAAACATTTCCGTCCTGGGGTAGCTGAAACTCAGGGGTCTCAGTCCTGGGATCCCCAGGACCCTCCAGAGCATCTGCTCGCACACTGGGTCCAGCACACGTTCGGGTCCTCATTTGTCAGTGTTGAAAGCACTAGAGGCTGACGGAGGGTTCTGAGCTTGGGTGGAAGCAAGCCAGCCGCCCTGCCCGGAGGGGGCACTTTACATAATAGGCAAACAGGACAGAGCCTTAGAACTTCCCGCATGGGGACTGGCCTCTGGGGACCAAGCTGGCAGAAGAGAAAGAAAGGGGGTGTCTGAGAAGCCAGAGTGAGGGGCGCAGGATGGACTGCGAGCTGGGAGACAGTGCCGGGGGTTGGTTGTCAGCTGCAGGTGGTAGAGAACTACCCAGAACATGTTTTTTTGTTGGTTTGTTTGTTTATTTTTGCTTTTTGGGTCACACGTGGCGATGCACAGAGGTTACTCCTGGCTCTTCACTCAGGAATCACTCCTGGCGGTGCTCGGGGGACGACATGGGATGCTGGGAATCAAACCCGTGTCGGCCGCGTGCAAGGCAAACGCCCTACCCGCTGTGCTCTCTTTCCAGTCCCTTGTTTTTTTAATGTTTTTATTTTATAAGGGAGTTTACAATATTTGATTGCATTTCATATTCAAACACCAATCCCACCACCATATTTGGGATGTTTCCATCCCAAAGCAGAACCGAAATAATATATTTTTGAATTGTTATGAAAAACTGCTGAAAATGCTACAAAAAGTATCCATAGAGGAAAGAGTATGAAGAATGTTCTATTTTGGCAGGGGCCATTAAGACTTTATTTTTTTTTAATTGAATCACCGTGAGAGCAGTTACAAAGTCTTCAGGTTTCAGTCTTGGTCATACAATGATCAAACACCCATCCCCCCATCCACCCCTCCCCCTGCTTGTGTGGCAGATGATTTTTACTTGACTCTCTCTCTACTTTGATTACATTCAATTTTTTGACAGAAGACTCACTATTATTATTTGGAATTTTCCCCCAAGTATCAGACCTGCCGAAAAGGCATCATTAGATAATTTGTTTTCCATTGCTGAAAATATGATGTCACGTGGCCTCTATCACGGCCGCACGCCCAGAACATGTTTTAAGTGAGTGAATTAGGTGGTAACCCCAAGAGATGATGCCACTATAAATGCCCCTGTGAGGTGGTGCCCCCTTGAGATGGTGCCCCCTGTGAGGCGGTACGTGCTGTGATGTGGTGCCCTCTGTAAGGTGGTGTCTCCTGAAGGTGGTGCCCCCTGTGAGGTGGCACCAACTGTGCTGGGGTTCCCACTATAAGGTGGTGCCCACTGTGAGGTGAGGTGATGCCTGCTCTGAGGTGGTGCCTGCTGTAAGGGGGTTCCACTGTGAGGTGGTGCTCACTGTGCAGTGATGCCTGCTTTGCAGTGATGCCTGTTGTGAGGTGGTGCCCGCTGTGAGGGGGTGCCCGCTGTGAGGTGATATCCACTGTGAGGTGGTGCCACTGAGGCTGTGCCTGCTGTGGGGGGTTTCCACTGTGCGGTGATGCCTGCTGTGAGGTGGCACCACTGAGGCCGTGCCTGCTGTGAGGTGATACCCACTGTGAGGTGGTGCCACTGAGGCTGTGCCTGCCGTGGTGGGGGTTCCCACTGTGAGATGATGCCTGCTGGGGGGGGGGGCTTCCCACTGTGACACCGAGAGGTGGTGCCCCCTGTGAGGTGGTGCCATGCTCTCAGTGATGGGGTGGCCCTCTTTGTGCCCCAGGCCTGTTCGCTCTACACTTCTCCAGCACGTAGCAGCAGGGGGAGGCTGGCTGGGGCCGACAGGAACAGGGAAGGTGGCAGATGCCATGTACTTTCCCGGAGCGCTGCACTGATGCAAGGTCCTCTGGGCTCGTTCACTCCCCGAGTGGAAGACCCCGGTTTCCGAGAGGACCCTCAGGAAGGCCTTGGGCCCGGGGCGGAGAAGAGCATTTCCAGGCTGGCTTGCATCATGCCGAAGGGCTTCTGTTGTGAGCGCAGCTCGCACAGGGACCTAGCAGGGCCTGAGCCAGGGCGCGCCGCCCCCACCCCTGCCCGGGCGGGTGCCACCCTCGCAGCCGCCAGTCCACTGCCCTTTGCCTGGCGAAATTCTCCCAAAGGTCTTCAGCGCTCTCTTTGATCCTCTAAAAAGAAACTCCTGTGTACGTTTGTTTTCCTCCCTCCTAGGCTGGCAAAGCGCACAGGTTAAGCGCTGAGGAGAGGGACCAGCTGCTGCCCAACCTGAGGGCCGTGGGGTGGAATGAGCTGGAAGGCCGAGATGCCATCTTCAAGCAGTTCCATTTCAAAGACTTCAACAGGGTAAATAAAGCGAGGAGCGGGCGGAGGTTTCCGACGGGGCTGCTGGGTCCCCTCCTCCCACCCCCAGAAATCCATTAGCCAAGGGTCAGACAGAACCCTCAGAGTGCCATGCTTAGGGCTGGGGAATGGGTGAGGGGTCCTGGGTGGTCTGCAGGTGGAATTTTTAGAGGGGAGGGTGCAGGCAGGCAGGCATTTGAGGAGTGCGCCCAAGCTTGGCTGAGACTGCGGGGAGAAGCCCTGCTGTGGTCACAGTGGCAGGACCCCGCCTTGGAGGGAGCTGTGCCTGCCTCCTCGGCCGGAGCAGCTGCCCACGCGTCCCCAGGAAGCAGCCCCTGAGCAGGTAGGCACTGCCCAGGCTGCCGGCAGGACCAGCCCCAAGGCCCTCTGGGGTGTGAGGTGGAGCTTCCTTGGGCGGAACTGGCCCATCCGCCCGTACCTGACCGTCCACTGAGCGCCGGCAGGAGCCCGGGAACTGGCCCATCCGCCCGCATCTGACCGTCCACTGAGTGCCGGGAGCCGCCCCGCCACCCCTCAGAGCACTGACCCGCGCTCACTTCTCCCTGCAGGCTTTCGGCTTCATGACTCGAGTGGCGCTGCAGGCCGAGAAGCTGGACCACCATCCCGAATGGTTCAACGTGTACAACAAGGTGAGGGATGGGTGTGGGCACCCGGCGGGGCTCTGGGCCAGGGACTCACTCAGGTATTGGTGGCACTGTAGGGTGTGGTCCTGGAGCGGCCCCCCTGCCCCCCAGCACTGCTGGAACCGAGCACGGCTGGAGGTGGCCCAGGCCCTTGAGCACCGTTGGGGGTGCCCCGAGGAGAGAAGGAAAGGCAAGGTTGATTAACTATTAATCGTGGTTAATAGTTGCACAGATTTCAGCCCCTCGGGAGGGACTGGGGAAGAAAAAGGTGATGAGCTAATAAGCACGGCCAGGGGCTGGAGAGAGAGCACAGCGGGGAGGGCGTTTGCCTTGCACGCGGCCGACCCGGGTTCGATTCCCAGCATCCCATACGGTCCCCTGAGCACCACCAGGAGTAAGTCCTGAGTGCAGGAGCCAGGAGTAACCCCTGTGGATCGCTGGGTGTGACCCCAAAAAGCAAAATAATAATAATAATAAGCACGGCCATACTGCCCAGAAGACAGTCTGCTTAATGGAGTGGAAAGTCCGCAACGCCTGCCGTGCGCAGGAACAAGCTGGCCTCTGCGTGCGTGTCCCCGCCAGGAGAGGTGCCAGAGGGCCCTAAGACATGAGGCAGAGCGGCTGGTGCTCTGGGCCCAGCCCTCAGCTTGCTCCCAGGAGCGGGACACTGTTTTCCTTGGGTCCCCGTTTTGGGAGCCGTGGGAGAAGACAGTCTGTGGTCGCTGTGAAAGCCCATCAGGAGCCCACGGGACCCCGGCCCTGGCTGGCCCCGTTCTGTTCTCAGTCCCCAGGGTCAGGGGCCTCCTGGCTCAGGGACAGTCTTCCAGCGCCTCCAGCCAGCCGGAACTCGGTGTCGTTACAGGTCCACATCACGCTGAGCACCCACGAGTGTGCGGGCCTTTCAGAGCGAGACATCAACCTGGCCAGCTTCATCGAGCAGGTGGCAGTGTCCATGGCATAGCCGCCCGCCCCTGCGTCTCGTCCTTGGCAGGAGAGAAGCGGAGAAGCATGGCCAGCCCTGCAGCCGGCGTAGGGGGAGTCCGTGCTGCCCAAAGGCACCGCACCAGGCTCAGGAGCCAGACCTCTGCCCTGCCCCGCGCCCCTCATCCACGCGGGCTCCGATTCGCGTGAAGCCGGGCCTTCCCCTTCCAGGCTGCCGTGCCCCCTTGGTCTCTCACCCCAGAGAACAGGCCCCTAGGGCCCAGGTGACACACACGTGTGCGGGCTGCCAATAAAACTGCTCCCCCGGGCTGCAGTGTCTTGGTTACAAGTCGGTCGGACTGCGCCGCAGACCCCAAAAGCTCTCCCTGGCCAGGCACTGCTGAAGGCACTGGGGCACGAAGGAGCTGCTAGACTGCTGTGACTTCCCGGGGGATGGGGGGAAGCAACGGGGGAACTCGGCATTACTGCCAGCTGCATGGAGAAGGAAGGAGCCACAGGGGCCCAGGAGAGAGCACCCGGCAGGCTCTGCTCTCATGCTGAGCACCACCACCTACCGGCTGAGCACTGCTAGGGGTGAATCCTCAGCATAGCCGGGAGGGAGGGGGGGAGGGAGGGAGAGAGGGAAGGAAGGGAGGGAGAGAGGGAAGGAAGGAAGGAAGGAAGGAAGGAAGGAAGGAAGGAAGGAAGAAGGCAGGGAGGGAGGGAGGAAAGGAAGGAAGGAAGGAAGGAAGGAAGGAAGGAAGGAAGGAAGGAAGGAAGGGAGGGAGGAAAGGAAGGAAGGAAGGAAGGAAGGAAGAAGGCAGGGAGGGAGGGAGGAAAGGAAGGAAGGAAGGAAGGAAGGAAGGAAGGAAGGAAGAAGGCAGGGAGGGAGGGAGGAAAGGAAGGAAGGAAGGAAGGAAGGAAGAAGGCAGGGAGGGAGGGAGGAAAGGAAGGAAGGAAGGAAGGAAGGAAGGAAGGAAGGAAGGAAGAAGGCAGGGAGGGAGGGAGGAAAGGAAGGAAGGAAGGAAGGAAGGAAGGAAGGAAGGAAGGAAGGAAGGAAGAAGGCAGGGAGGGAGGGAGGAAAGGAAGGAAGGAAGGAAGGAAGGAAGGAAGGAAGGAAGGAAGAAGGCAGGGAGGGAGGGAGGAAAGGAAGGAAGGAAGGAAGGAAGGAAGGAAGGAAGGAAGGAAGAAGGCAGGGAGGGAGGGAGGAAAGGAAGGAAGGAAGGAAGGAAGGAAGGAAGGAAGGAAGGAAGAAGGCAGGGAGGGAGGAAAGGAAGGAAGGAAGGAAGGAAGGAAGGAAGGAAGGAAGGAAGGAAGGAAGGAAGAAGGCAGGGAGGGAGGGAGGAAAGGAAGGAAGAAGGAAGGAAGGAAGGAAGGAAGGAGGGAGGGAGGGAGGGAGGAAAGGAAGGAAGGAAGGAAGGAAGGAAGGAAGGAAGGAAGGAAGGAAGAAGGCAGGGAGGGAGGGAGGGAGGAAAGGAAGGAAGAAAGGGAGGGAGGGAGGGAGGAAAGGAAGGAAGAAAGGGAGGGAGGGAGGGAGGGAAGGAGGGAGGGAGGGAGGGGAGGGGAGGAGATGGGGAGAGGAGGGAGAGAAGGAAGGAAGGAGGGAGGGAGGGAGGGAGGGAGGGAGGGAGGGAGGGAGGAGATGGGGAGAGGAGGGAGAGAAGGAAGGAAGGAGGGAGGGAGGGAGATGGGAGAGAAGGGAGGGAGGGAAGAAAGAAGGGAGGGAGGGAGGGCAGGCAGGCAGAGCCGCATCCAGCACTGTCACAGTCTAGTCCCCCTGCGTGAACTGGTCCTCAGAAGTCAGAAGTGAAGGCCAAGGTTCTGGTAGGGAAGTAACATACACTGTCGCTCAGGGGAACTGCTAGGGCCCCCTTTGCAGCCTGTCTGCGACAAAGGATGAACACCACCTGTGCTTAACAGCGAACTCTGGGCAAAGTTCGACAATCCACACCAGCAGGGTTCAGAGGGCGATGCCCAATCTCTTCCACTTCTTTTTCTTGGCGATGCTCGGGGGTTGTTCCTCACCCTGCGCTCAGGAAGTAACTCGGAGTGGTTCTCAGGGGACCGTATGAGATGCTGGGATCAAACCCAGGTCGGCTGTACAAGCAAGGGAAGTGCCTCGAAGTCTGCTTCGACCCAGTGACTGCAGATCCTGGTCCCCGAGCCACCAGACCTGAGGTACAGACTGTGCTGCCTCATCTGCTTCCTCTCCAGGCTCCAAGGTTGGAAAACACCAACCTAGAGGGCCCTGAAGGTGAAGGAGGCGCCTGCAAGTAGGACAAAGACACAAGCAACGCACGCTTAGAAATAAATACATTTATTCTAAAATTAATGCAAGTAACTGAAAATCATACGAGCGGATGTTGAGGATAGATTATGAAAAATAAATACAAGAAGAAAGAAAGCAATTAAGTAAGACTCCAAGTCAAGGAAAAAATCCTCTGAAATCCCTGACTTGTGCTTGCCCGACAGGCTTCATCAGTACCTCGGCTGTGACTGGGTGGAGAGCCCAGAGCAGCTCGGCCCGGCTGCGTCCGGCCGCATGCAGAGAAGGCCCAGGGACCCCCAACCCCAGGGAGCAGGAGAAGCCGTCCAAGCTGTCCTGAGTCCAGTCCATCTGGCCCCTCAGGGTGGACATGGCAGAAAACCACTGCAAATGTGGCGGGATTCTGGGAAGGCTGAGATGGCCTCAGGGCCACGCTTGGACAGCTGGTCACTGAGGAACCCTCTGGAAAGATTTCCACATCCGGTGGCAATGGAGCAACATGCCAAGCGGTTACGCTTACTAGGCTAATAGGAGGCTTCCATCAGCCCCAGACCAAGCTCAGGGTGCGAGGTCTGGGCTCCGGTCGCCAGCCACACCCCCGTGCGTGAGGACGACGACCAAACGGGGTCGGAGAGCTGCGTCCCAGACCGCCTCAGGACTCGGGGCAGAGCAAATCAAGAAAGCACTCGCGACTGTGACCTGCGACTCCACGCAACGAGTGCTTTCCTGGGGAGTGCTCCCGAGAAACCTCATCAAGAAATCTTTCGTTCAAGGGCCCCAATATCCGCGGGGAGACGCGAGCGTCTCACCACCAGGGGGCGACCCCTCACAAGCGGCCTGTGCCACGGGGCCCCCCACCACCTTATCTGGGATCTGCCTGAACACACAGAAGCAAACAACCACGATTAAGATTTGGGATATTTAATGACATAATTGCTTTCGGAGAGATTATTGCTGCAGTTAGGAAGGGCGCACTGAGACGGGACAGGGGCGGGGGGTTAAAGACAGGAGATTCACAAAGAGGCAAGTACCATTTCCAAGTATAAAACCAGCAATATGAAAAGTGGCTGGGCAGAGCCCGCACACGGCGACGCTAAGGCAGGCGCGGGTGAGAGGTTTCCACAAGGGCCCGGGGGGCCTCTGCTCGGCAACACGACAGGACCGGGCTGTCCCCCCACCCCCACCCGCCAGATGAGGTGCCACCCACCTACAGACACGCAAAGCTAAGGCACGTGACGACCTACCAGAGGGCTCCTGCAGAGGGCCAAGACCCATGCTGCAGTGACCCCGACAGCCCGAGGGGAGCCCCCGGGTGCCACCGCGCACTCTCATGGACACGATGTGCTTCTCTGCCTGAGCGGGCTGGCACCGTGGTGCCCTGCTGGAACGTGCCCGCCCAGCACTGACACTGTGCCTCTTTCTGGAGGTGCCCACCAGGTCGACAACTGGCCCAGCCAGTCACAGTTCTGTGTCAGTACAGTGATAAGGAGCCCGGGGTGGGGGGGGTGGGGGGCCACCTTGGCTCTGCTGGCCAGCATTCTGGGGGCGAGGGGAGGGCAGGCAGCGGCCAAAGGGCACCAGCCTGGAGGCCAGTGACCGGGAGTCCCTGAGAAGGATAATATGGAACCGGAACATTTCTCCTCACTTATCCTAAGTACTCCCTTACCCACGTGAGACCGTCACAGACGGGGGCCTGGGTCAGGACTGGCCCCGCGCTGTGTACTGCTGAGGGAAAGGCACACAGTAGGTCATCCTCTGAGATGGGCAGGGGTCCACCAAGGTCAGGCCCATGCGGGAGAGAAGGCCGGAAGCGGGCGCAGGGCTTGGCCCCGGCCCTGTACCACCCTGAGCGACTACTCTCCCGACAGACGCCAGGCCCGAGGTGGCACGGACACGTGCTTGTGTTCCTGTTCCAAAGCGTTTCTCCCTCCGAGCCCGGGCTCGAAGCGTCCAGTACCGGAGGCGAAACTGCCATTGTACCGTGGGGGGCCGAGTCGAGGGAAGGGGCGGGAGAACGGGCCAAGGAGAGAAGAAACCGCCCCTGCCTGGAGCCCTCACACCTCACACCTGCCAAGAAGTCACGGCGGCGTCGGAGCGGTGAGGCAGCTCCCGGTCAAGCAAACATGCTCTCGGGACGATTATTCTCATAGTGACGGTGCGAAGGGGAAGGAGGGTCCCCCTGTCCCCCAACCAGCTCCAGGGGCAGAGACTCGACCTGGGCGCTTGCCCTACTTGTCGTGGAGAAGCACCAGGAAGAGTCCAAGTCTCCCGTCATCACCGGCCCCAGGGCAGGGCCAAGACAGGCCCGAGTCCTCTGGAAACCACCTTCTCTTCCTAGGCCACAAAACAGGAACAGAGGAACAGAGCATAATTTCAACAAGAATCTCCAAACACGGCAGTGGCCGAGTATCACAGGGAAATTACAAGCAGAGCAGCAGGGCAGCGAGCTACGCCCAGCCCCACCTCTGAGCAGAGAGGTTAGCAAGACCACGCAGGGCAGGCCGGGTGACAGGAAGGCCAATCGGTGTTCTGGGAGGGGGACTGTCAGCTGGAATAACAGTGCCGGCATCAGAGACAACGAGCCAGCCTGAGAAAAAGGAGAACAGGGCCCTGTGCTTCGGGGAGGGCTCACGCCCACCTGGGAACACACGGCACCCAAAACGCTCCTTATCTGACTAGCCAAGTTGTCCGAAATAAGGAAGAAAAACCTTCTGTCTCATAAACTGTACTCCGGCTTCCCAAAGAAATCAAGACAGTCCAGAGCTGCCCACACAGTGATTAAGTGAAGCTGGAAGCTAGAGGTTAGAGATGGGTCTGGTCAGAATCATTCTGGGGGGGGGAGGGGACGCTCATGGGAAGGGCGGAACCGTTATGAAATAGGACCCTTCGGGGCATTCACATTCAAACCCACGAAAGGAGGAGAGGAAGAGGAGGAAGTATCCTGAGCATCGCGCGGTCTCATGGTCTCTCTTCTTGTGCTCGGTGGGGCAACACCGGATGTTGGAACTGTGTGGCCTGGTCCACACCCCGAGAGGCTCCAGGCTCAGCGGGGCTTGGGAGACCCATTCATCTGGCTGCCCTGGGTCACGGTGTCTGTGCTGAAGAGGCTGTCCAGGAAGACCGAGGACAATTCTGCCACCAGGTTCCTGTCCACGACTGTCTGGGCCATGCCATAGATCGCGCCCTGCAAAGCCAGCCAAGGACACATTATTCATGAGGAGGAGAGGAGCAGAAAGAAAGCCAGGATTATAATCTCCTCCCCTCTCCTGGCCTCCTTCTCCCCAGGTACCAATCCACTTGGGAGAAAGACAGCCTGCAAAGTAGATTTTTTGTAAGTGCTGGCTTTTCTGTCCAAAGGAAATACACTGTAGGATTTTTTGTAGAAAATTCTGGGGGGGAAAAGCACACTCGCTTCCTTTCCTTTTCAGATGGTCATAACCACCACATCCCTTTGCACGTGATGCTTTCGAATGTATCAGGTGCTTTATTATAGTCTTTCTCCTCTGAAACGGGAAAAACCTGGGATTGGATGAGGTGGAGGCCATCAGCCAAGGAAGAGACAGAGGTTTGCGACTGAGAAGCTGGGATGGGAACAGACGTGGGGCTAAGCCCTTCAACGGCGTCCTCGTGCCCACTGACATCTAAACTCCCACCGCGCGAGAGAAGACCCCCGAGTGTCCCTACCATTCCCGTGGTCTTTGCTTTCGGGTTCTTCATGATCTGAGTGACGGATTCCCGGACGTCCTTCAGGAACTGGATGGCAACTCGCTTCCTGGTGTGCACTAAGGTGACGCAGAAGTGGATGCTATGGAAGGGGACAGACAGACAGATGAGCATTGGACAGGCAACAGTGTTCCCAAATAAAGCCCCCACAGCCAGGAAGGCCTGGCACTACAACGTGCCGGCCCAGGCTAGGAGGCAGCCCTGGGCTGGGAGTCGGCAGATCAAATGCGCGACTTGGTGGAGCCAGGACGCGTGAGGCTTCCGACTGTGGAGGGGGTGAATCTTGCCGACTGCGAGGGCCTGCCATGCCTCTCAAAACTGTCCCCAGATAGTCCTGCTGCTGAGTGACCACTGGTAGTGACGATTTTATCCTGGGGACAGGAGCGTTCTGGGTGAGATCGAGAAGGGCTTCAAGGGCCCAGGGACTCTAACAGCCCTGGGATGGTGGAGAGGCAAAGGCGGTGTCCAGATGGGACAGGTAATGCCACCACAAAGGCAAGAACCGGGAGTCCTGAGGGGTGTCAGGACTGAAGGGTATCACTGAAGGTGAGATCAGAAAACCTGAGACAGACAACAGCGGCCTGAGTGACAAGATTCTCTGGAGACGTCTTTGTTTCGGGTTTGGATCCCGGAATGCAGAGTTTCGAGCTGACTTCTTTCAGCTGCTAAGACGGTTTCTAAGAGCCAGGGAGGGTTGTGAGTGGGATGACGGGCGCGCAGAGCCACGAACAGTGAGACGGGGGGGGGAGATGTCTCTCAGGACGAGCCATGAGCCTCAAGAAGACCGTCACCTGACACGGGGAGTTTCAGGACAGCAATCCTCCAGAGACCGGAGCCGCCCACGGAGTCGACTTTTGCTACCAGAAGTTCTCTGACAGTCAGGGGAGCGAGGCCAGGGAGGGGTCCTCGGGCTTACCTGGGCGGGAACTGCAACTGGTTCAGGTTCCAGCCCTTGGCTGTCATCAAGTTAGAGAGTCGGAAGATGTCGAAGTCTCGGGAGCCCAGAGCGATGACGGACACCTGAGGGTTCCCCAGAACAAAGATGCCTTTGATGGTCTCCAGTCTTGAACCAAAAAGATAAAAACAAGAAGGAACAAGGAAATTTAGCCACACATGCGCTAGGCCTCCATTCATCTCTTTGATTATCCAACCCTCCTCCCTTGGAACCGAACCGAACAGGAGCGGGGAGGGCAGAAGATGCCCATCTGCCGAGAGGAGGTGGCTGGACTGTGACCAGGGCTCAAAGGCCCAGATCCCACCGAGACCCCGACCGGGAACAAAATCCCTGGCTGCGGCCCTGGCACTCGGACATGCCCCCGGGCCACGTGGGCGCCAGAGGTGGACTTCGGAGCATCCGGAATAAAGGGCCCTTCAGCCCCGCAGTTTCAGGAAGTCCCATCTGCCAGCCCTCACGCAAGAAAGGGACCTCCTCAGAGACAGGCAGGGGACACATGAGCATGTGTTAGAGCAGAGCTAGTTCCAGCTCCACATTAACCCCCCATCGATCTCTCTCTCAATCTCCCCCCACCCCTGCCCATCCCCAATTCCTTCTTCCCCAAATCCTCTCTTACTCCAGTAATTCTCTGAGACTTCTCTGCCAGCAGCCTTAGTATCCACTTCCCAGCGCCTACTTCCTAGAAATGCAAATCCCTGGGCTCCCCCAGCCGCGTGTACTGAGAACGAACTCTCCGAGTGGGGCGCAGCAACCTGCATTTTAAGCAGCCGAGCTGGTCAGGGGCACGCTGAGGCCCGGGAACCACTGTCTTAACCACCGCACGAGATGGCACCAGCCCTGGTAAGGGCTGCCAGTAGTTATGAGATCCCTGCGAGATAGGGCGTCCGCCAGAGCACAGCCCGGGGCCTGGCCGCCTGCCCTAAACCCCTGGGCTCTCGGGGACAACCACGCGGCCTGGCCAGGCGGACACTCTGCACCTAGAGGCAGATGGAACAGAGGAAGCAGAACCCCGTCTTCCGCACATACTCTGACTTGAGGAAGCGAGTAGTTTTGATGATCTGTTTGGTGGCTTCCACATAGCCGCTCTCACCGAAGTGCATCAGGGTGGCCCAGCAGGCTGCGCTGATGCCGCCCGGCCGTGAGCCTGCGATGGTGGGGGAAGCGTAGATGCCACCTTGCCAGTCCGTGGCAATGAAGAACTGGTAGTTCCTGTACTTCTTCTCACTGTACAGCACCACCGACGAGCCCTTGGGGGCATAGCCGTACTGTGGAGAAGACCGGGGTCAGCGCAACACCCAGCCACAGGCCCCCGGCACCCAGCACCTTCCCGGTCACACAGGAGGGATCAAACAGACACTCCGCACACCGACCGAAGCAACGGGCTTAGCAACCTCTCACTCAGGGCGAGGGAATCTGAGGCCCTGGGAGAAAACAGTGTTTGTTCCCAGCTAATGGGTTTCCTCCCGTGTTCTGCTTTGAGAAATTCCCCAGGCAAGTTTGTCGGGATGGAAGGGAAGGTGAATTTCCATGGGAGTCAAGAAAGGCTGACTTCAAACGAATATGGAACAACACAGTCGGATTCCATCCTCCCCCCCTTTCTCTCTCTCTCTCTCTCTCCCTATATGCTGCTGCTGATTATTACACTACCTTTGGTTAATTATATATAAATTATGTCATATACTATATTAATAAGTGTAATTATATCACACTTCCTTTCCAAGACTATCACAGTGCTCAGAATCTAGAAGTGACTAAATCCAGCTTTAGAATACACTGTGTCGGGGCTGGGAGAAGCTGAAGGGGCCAGCGGCATCCTGCCTGGTGAAGCCCGGCCTCTATCCCGGATACCACAGGGCCTCTGAGCACCATGGGACGGGGCGTGGTTGAGTCCTGAGCCCAGCCCCGAGCACTGAACACCACACCTGCATTCCTGGGAGTTAGTTCCACCCCAAGCCTCACAGCGATGGGGGTACAAGAGGGGCTCTGATGGCAGCCAGGCAGATCACTAAGAGCCAATGGACTCGACAGTCCTCAAGTGTCCAGCAGACTCCAGGAGAATCACACTGGGCACATGGCCGCTGTCTCTGCATCTGGGGCAGAGTCTGTGTGAGTCCCTCCCTAACCGGACTTGATCTCAGCCCTCTGGGGGCCGGCACGAGCACTTCAAATACTATACAGTCAAACAGAACTTCCTTCTGTTTTCCGAAGGGCTTATTTGTTAGCACACACCTGTCACTTAGGTGCTGTGTCCCTGGGGCTTCCACAGGACCACTGTTCTGGAGGAATGCCAACAGGAGCCTCCCTCTGCTACAGACACCTGAAGGCTTCAGGGAGCTTTATCCTACTGTCGCTACAGTGGCCTATCACAGTTTTAGTCAGTGGAAATGGGAATTCTCTTGGCCAGATGACACAAAGATAACAGGTCCCGTTCCCTGGGGCCGGAGCAATGACACACGGACAGGATGCTTGCCTGGGACGTGGCCAACCTGGGTTCAATCCCTAGTGCCCCAAGCCCATCAGGAGTGAGCCCTCAGCACCATCTGGTGTGGCCCACCCCCCATCCCCCCCAAACCAAAACCAAACCTACATCCCTTTCCATTACTCTCTTGTCACCTGAGACAGTCACCCTGGTGAGAACAGAAAGCCAGACTCACCTTGTGAGTATCAGCTGAAATGCTGGTCACCCCCTTCACCCGGAAGTCAAACGGCTGGTCCAGTGGGTACCCTGCTTTCTCCATGAAGACGATGAGGAAACCCCCCAAGCAAGCGTCTACGTGAAGAGGTATTTTATATTTGACCGCCAACTGGTTCCAAAACACAAAGACCACAAAAGCATGTCACTGACAGTCCCAGGCCTACAATTTGCAAGACAAGAGCCGAAGGGTGGGTTTGAACCGGTGTCTGTGTACCCACGTTATAAAAGGCCTTTTCCGGCATTCCTAACCAGGTCATTTTCCCCGTGCATTTAGCCGTGGGTGGAATGAAGCTGAACTCGGTGTCTACTCTATGTGCAGGGCTTCAGACTCACTGCAAGACCGAGCCGGCACAGCCCTGGGAGAGCTGACATCCTGCTGGGGAAACTGCACCGGGGGAGAGGTGGGGTGCCGTGAGGTGTGCCGAGTGCCTTCCTCTAGAGCACACCCCGCAACGCAGACTTCCCCACCGGGGTGGAAAGATCAGCACTATTTCAGGAGACGTCAGTTAAGCAAAGCCCTTTCCCTGCCTCGTCACCCCTTCGCCCCTTCCGACACGGCTGACTTCAAACCCCAGAGCTGCGGGCCGCTCTTCATCCCGGCGGTGTCCAGTCTAACTCCCACCACTCCTCCCGCTGAGACCTGGTCAGACTTAGCCACGATGCCCAGCGGCCCGTCTCTCACCGACCTTGGCCACTTCGGGGACAGGGTCCATCACCCCGTGAGGAAAGCCCGGAGTGGAGCAGACGAGCATGGCGGTGTTCTTGGAGATGGCTCTTCTCATGGCCTAGGGGCGGGAAGGACCAGGGAGATGAGAAGCCGCCCTGTGGCATTTCCCTCCCCTGCACACACACAGCCACCGTGCCCTCGCCTGTCGCTCGGGAGAAGGCCTGTCTCCCCGCTCAGGGGGCCGGGGCCAGGCCAGGCCAAATCTCAAAGACAACAAAAACAAAACCGACAGCCGGCCAAAATCACAGTGCAGGGAACAGGAGTAGGGCTTCTTGGGGGCGAAAGAGGGAAAGGTGGGAGCCAACCCCACTGCCGGCACCGAAGCTCAAGTGAACAGTGACACCCGGCTCGAGCTGGCAGCTCCCAGGAACTCCCCCCCCCCCCCACCTCCCACCCTCCGCCACTAACAGCTTCTAGAGTTGACACTGGCTGTCAGAAGCCAGAAGGGGGTTCTGAAGGGACTCTGGAAATGGGAAAGTTCTTCTACACAAATGGTGGCATAGAAAGTAACTCCTAAAGAAATAGTACATTCTGTCCTTAAAAAGCAGAAATTCTGCCATGTGTGACATCGCTGAGCCTGGAGGACAGGATACTACATGAAGTAAGTCGGGTGATAATGGCCAGTACTCTAGACCCTCACTGCATCCATAAAATTTCAAAGACTCAAACTAGCAGAAGCCTGATCACTGCCGGGGCAGGGGGAAGGGAGCAGGGAGAGACGCAGGTCAAAGGTACCGAGCGCTGGCCACAGAGGGGACTGAGTTCTGAAGAGCTAAAGTCTCTCCAAGACTTTAGCTCAGTGAGACCCCCCTGCACACTCGAAGTCTCCTCAGAGAGTGAGAGAGTGGCCCGGGTATTCCGACTATGGGAGTGACCACGTGATCACATGGGTGACGGACACACTTAGCAGGCAAGGGTCACTGCATTGCAGACTAGATTTCTAAACGTCAAGTTGAAGACCTTACATATAGACAATTTTTGATGTGTCGATTATTCACCGATCAGCTAATACCTCAATAAAGACAATGGGAAAAAAAGGTTTAGGGGTCAGTGGGACAGGACAATGAGCGACTCCAGGAGTGAACCCTGAGCGCAGAGCAAGGGGTAAGCCCTGAGTACTACCGGGCGTGGCCCAAAACTGAAAATAAATACATTTTACAAAGAAAGACAGTGCAGAGATCAGTGCTGGTGCCCATAAACGGGACAATTTACTTCTGGAAAGAATCACCAACACAATCGCTATGGTTCTAATTCGGACCAATCAAAAGGGGCAAGTTAGTTCATGCTACAGAAAGGGACAGTGCTAAGAAAAAAAATCAGGTTAGTTAAGCCTCATGTCAGGGACTAGACTGGAACGCAGGAAGCTTTGCAGAGATGGAAGCGGAAGCCGCCATCACCAGCCAGAGGCAAGGCTGACAGCTACAGTGAAAAGCAGCTCAAGGTGTAGCTGCAGTGACCTGGGGGGAAAACCAGTCCATCGGGGGCATGTCCTGCTTTGCTCAGCCCAAGGCAGACACAGCCACGTCCTTTGCAGGGACTCACCCGGACATCCACCTCCATCATTTTGTTCAGCGGCACCCGGGTAATCTTCATCCCAAAATAATTGGCTGCTTTGTCAAACGCGGCGTGGGCGCTTTGGGGGGCCACACTGAAGGACGGGGAAGAGGAAAATCAGGACATTCAGCTCAGCATGGGCTTAAGAGCAAGTTGTCGGCCATTCTAATCACCAGGAGTCAGCTTCTAAGTATTTTTTCATAAAGTTTTAAAGGCATTTCTTCCGTTTTACTTTTGTTATTATTTTCCCTCGAACAGGCCAACTGATTTTTTTTTCCTTTTCGGGTCACACCCAGCGATGCTTAGGGGTTACTCCTGGCTCTGCACTCAGGAATTACTCCTGGCGGTGCTTGGGGGACCATATGGGATGCTGGGAATCGAACCTGGGTCGGCCACATGCAAGACAAACGCCCGACCTGCTGTACTACCATCTGTAAAATGATGTGGATAGCAGGAAGAGCTTGAAATCAATCCCGTCCACTTGGACCCAGAGTATAACGCTGACAGGTGCCAGCTGTGGGCAGGAACTGGGGTGAGCTCCACGCTGGACAGGAGGGAGTGGCTGCCCACGGTGGGCCAGGGAGTCAGACTGTCTCTGTGACTCCCGCAAAACATGACGGGCTACTGGGGCGCAAAGGGAACGCAGCCAGCCAGCACCCAAGGGCCTGCTCAGATCTGACAGTCGTCTGAGAAACCCAAATTAAAATCCCCATTTCCCCAAGCAGGATGCCAAGCGATACTTGGAAGGAAAGCTGTGGCAGGTTAAACATCTGTCTTCGAACTTCTCTCAATCTTAAATCTCTGCATTTAAGATTCTCTCAATCTTAAATCTCTGCATTTAAATGCTCCACTACTAAACATCAAGCACCCAAGATTTCCGCTTGGAGAGAGATGGGACACCGACATTCTTAGTCATGGGCATTTGTAGGAAAACCCCTAACCTAAAATGAATGCTAATGAACACACTGTACAAACCAAGGGGCTTGCAGGGGGGAAAACGCAACCAGATACCAAAAATTAAGTCCATGTGGTCGCAATTTGGTAATTCTCAAAAGGATTTTTAAAATTCTTCCAGGCCATGGGGCTGGAGGGAGAGCACAGGAGGAAGGGTGTTTGCCTTGCACGTGGCTCACTCAGGTTCAATCCCGGCATCCCATAGGGTCCCCTGAACCTGCCAGGAGTGTTCCCTGAGTGCAGAGCCAGGAGCACTGCTGGGTATGGCGCCAAAACAAAACAGACAAGACAAATTTCCAGGTTAAAGATAAAATATCGGGGTTAGACAGCAACCAAAAGGAGAGAGAGAGAACAAAAGGGAGTGCCCTGCCACAGAGGCAGGGTGGGATGGGGGGATGGGGGGTGGGAGGGATACTGGGATCTGTGGTGGTGGGAAGTGGGCACTGGTGGAGGGATGGGTACTTGATCACTGTATAACTGAAACCCAAGCACAAAAATTTGTAAGTCTACAACTGTACCTCGTGGTGTTTCTCTAATAAAAAAAAATTTAAAAATAAAATAAAAAAACCAAACCCAAAAAAACCCCCAAAGTTTATAGCATTTAATCCCATGCTTTGTATCCAAATTGAATCCAGAAAAATCATGACATTGGTATTTACCTTCACATACCCACAGTTTTCCATGTCTTTTCCTGGTATTACTATTACACCCTGTGATTCCAGTAGCAGTCTACTGTGTAGAATTCTTTCTAGTATTAATAATGCCTAGGGTACCTTCTGATGTAAAGTGTTTAATAAACATGAAAGGAATAAATTAATCAATTAAAACATAATAACTGACAGAATTCCTTAGGCTTCTACTGGATGTATAAAAAATGTGATCAGTTCTTGGGTTGTAAACATTTCAGGTCAAAATTCAAGTATAGCCCATGATTTTCTCATAATCGCAAATTTCTCAAACTTGATTTTGTATTTGTTGATGCTCTGTTTATGAAAAGGGAAACAGGATGGAAGTGGAATGAAAAGTACAATGACTTGTCATAATAAAATACTACAAACTGGGTGATTCAAGAAAAAAATACATCAGGATTAGGCACTTGCCATGTGCTAACTGACTTCCGTTTGGTAAGCCTGATTTCAGCCAGAAGTGACCCCTGAGCACTGCTGGGTTTGGCCCAAATCCCCAACAAACACACACAAAATAGTTTTTCCTCCCAGAAATAATCTTAACTTTTACTAACCAAGCAGAGAGCTTTCTTCTTTATGCTTGAGGGTGTTTAGCATAAATGAGAGAGCTTAGAGCTATAGGCCCCTGTCACTTCTAGGAGGAGGATTTCACTCTGGAAGGATCCACCCTTTTAGCGGGGGTCGACTGTAAGATGAGTTAGCAGATCCGCTCCATTCATGCTGAATGAAGGGCCAAAAGCCAAGGATAAAAGACAAAAGGACTAGACTGAAATCACCAGAGGAAGAGAAGCTCGATTTTTTTTTTTAATAGAAAATAGACGTTGAAAGATAGATTTTTTCATTCCATCTCTAGAAAAGGGGTGGAGGAGAGACAGTGCTGTGCTGACATACATTTCTGGGGTCTTGATCCCGTTTGCCAAGGCCAGGTCCCGATAAGCTTTGCAAGCCATCAGGATGCTTTCGGTCCCTCCAGAGGTCACCTGGAACAGAGAAGAGAGCCCATCTGTGGAGCAGAGGTGGGGACGGCCGTCAGCAGCGGGCACTTCCCGCCCCACTCCTGACAATGCCCGGCCAGACGACGTCATGTGTGGACGACACAATGAGCACTCGGGTCTTCCAGGGAGGAAACTGGGCTCTGCCGGCTAAGCCTCACCTTGGTTCAGGAGAAGAGTTAAAGAAAAGGGTGAGGAGAAGCTCCACTGTGTGGAGAAACACCTCTGCCAGACCCTGCTGGGCTTAAGCCGTACGCATTTCCAGAGTAATTACCCAGGGGTACACGCACCGTCGAACATCAGCATTACTGACTTTGATTTACACTTTCAATAACCCCCAAGAATGTGAAATCACAATTCTAATAAACTGCGCGATACAGTGTGAAGATAGAGACACTCAGACACTCCCAAGCAAATAAACTTGTGCCTTTGAAACAGATGATTGTGTTTTGTATGGGGGCCACACCCAGCTGTGCTCAGGGCTCACTCCTCGCCCTGCACTCGGGGATCACTCCTGGTGGTGCTCAGGGAGCCATATGGGGTGTCAGGGTTCAAAACTGGGTCAGCCACGTGCAAGGCAATTCCCTACCGCTGTTCTATCTCTCCTGCCCCTGAAAAGGTTGAAACAGGAAAGCAGAAGCCCCTTCTCAGAAATTTATCTTACCCCAGGGGGAAAAAAATGAAATCCAACATCTTTAAATGAAGTAAAATGGGTTCCTAAAGCTGAGTCTAGCTCTCTGATGTGGGCATATTTGTTTAAGCACAGAAAAGAAAATGAGCAAGCGGTCACTTCATTCTGTTTCCCCAGTGGACTACACACTCATTAAGGGGAAGACCAATTTGTGATGCCTATTAGCTCAACTGAGATTTCTTTATGTTTCGGTTTGGGTTTTGGGTTACACTTGGCAATGTTCAACAGCAAGGTCAGGAGTGAGCACTGGAGCGATCAGGGGACCGGGCAGTGCCAGGGATCAAACCAGGGTTGGCCACGTGCAAGGCAAACGCCATGTGCCCTAGACTATCTCTCTGGCCACTCAATTAGCATTTCAAAAAACCTCATTCTAAGCTCAGTAAATTACACACGACCAACACAGAACATAGGTGAGTCATACTTCTCTGACTATCTTTTGATAATGAATTATTTCCAAATTAACAGGGGAAACAGAGCAGGCAGGAGAGAGAGTACAGGCCTGGGGATGGTCCCCCTTGCCCATCGTGGTCCCTCAAGCGCCCCCAGGACTGATTCCTGAGTGCAGAGTCTGCAGTAAGCCCTGAGCACAGCGCTCTGTGGTCCCAAAATGAAAACACAAACGGGAAACACAGCCCGGAGCTAGATGGATATTTTCTTATACTGGTCATCTTTTGACTACCCATGCAGTATCTCAACGTCCTTTCCATTCTCTAGGTTAAGAAAGTTGAATCAGAAGACATTGATTCACCTAGTGTTATCCACTTGGCATTCATTTTTCAGTAAGAGGTAAAAACTTCCAATTTTTAATATCCTCTACAGCTTATTATGAGGTGGAATGAGGAGCTGGATCGATCTGGTGTGGACAGGGTGGGGAGGGCGCTTTGCCTTGCATGTGGCCTGTCCAGGTTCTATCCCCAACATCCCCTATGGTTCACTGAGCCATGCCAGGAGTGATCCCTGAGCGCAGAGCCAGGAGGAAGCCCTGAGCATCACTAGCTGTGGCCGAGAAACAAAACAAACAGAAGAGACCAATGGAATGAGAAAGGGTGATCACAGAAGCTTCTAAAAGAAAATCTTACCCACAACAGCCATGCCACTGAACAAAATCCCAGCAGTCGGGGGTTATGTGAGCGACTGGCTGAAATGAGTGAGTCACACTTTGGCTCAGGAAGTCTCTGTGAAACATGTGACCGTCACCTCCTAGAAGTGAGAAGCAGGCTCGGGCACAGGACACTGCTGTAGGGCTGTGCGTTTCCCCGTTAGAAAACACAAAAGGCTCATGGCTGAGGTCGGCACTGCAACCCAGCAGCACGTGCTGTGGGCGAGCCTGAAACCTCCGAATGTCAGATGAGGAGCCACAGTAGTTATGGAGAAAGCCTGGGAAGGACCGGGGGAGCTCAAGTCTGCAACGCCAGCCCCAAGGTCCAGTCATGACCTAAGCAAAAACTATTTCCAAATCCCAAGTTACCCACTTCATCTGTTCCGCTTTTAGCCCAGTTCGCAGTTAAGCCAACACATTCATTGGTTGAGCGAATGCCACTGTGTTATCAACTGTGAAAGTAGGAACATCCAGCTTCTCTTCCAGTTTTTATTTGATCCTGAATGCTGAGCTGAAACTTACTGCTCCTCTTCCCTTTCTCTCTACCACCTGAACCCAAAGGTAAATCTCAATTCAGTTGTTAATTGGAGTAAGAGGACAGTGGCCCCAATGATCACTTGCTCTGAACAACTTTCACCATTTATAAAATATCTCATGCTGGGGCTGGAGCGAGAGCACAGCGGGGAGGGCGTTTACCTTGCACATGGCCAACCCACGTTCGATTCCCAGCATCCCATATGGTCCCCAGAGCACCGCCAGGAGTAATTCCTGAGTGCAGAGCCAGGAGTAACCCCTAGGCATGGCCAGGTGTGACCCAAAGAGGAAAAACAAATGCTATTCTATTCTAATTCTCATGCTACCTAAGAATTAGAAAACTAGCACAGATCATGAGCATAACATGTTGAGGCCCGATGGCACCTCCACAGCTTTTTCACACCTAAGAGAGAACCGAGTTTCTTTGGGGGTATGACGTCGCCTCTCAGCCACCCTCACTCGTGGAGAGAGACAGAGAATGACGAAAGAGCTATCTCCTTAGACAAGGTCTTAGGGAACTGTATTTCCTCAGTCCCTAATACACAAAGGACAAAAGATCACACTGGAAGAGATGACTTAATTGGAACAAATCAAAATCAAAATAAATAAATAAAACAAGCAAACTATGGTTGGCTTTATGGATAGAGAATGAAGACCGCCAGAACCTCCTGAGTGATTTCTTCCCTAAAGCCGATGGGAATGTGCGTATGGGGGGGAGCTGGGTGTGTGGGGAGAGTGGGGTAAGAGCTTACCGTAATTACCACCAAACAAGAGAAGAGGTCGTCGAATACAAAAAATCTTAAATACGAAGTCCCCCTCCCAAAATATATACATAAACGTTTCTGAAGCCTAGAAGAGGGTAAAATACAGCTTCTGGTCGCCCCTCTGACCCCTGGAAATGTCAGCCGATGAGACAGCGCAGTGGCTACAGTACTTGCCTTGAACACGGAAACCTGCGTGGTTTTCCCTACACCACATCCGATCCCTGGGTCCAAAGCAGGAGGTTCCCGAACCAAACCCAAAAGCAAACCAAAGCCTGGAAAAGGTACCGGTGAGTAGGCAAAACGTTCAATTTCTCATTCCTATGCCCCCAAGTCTTCTAGGAAAGCAAGTTGGGATGGGGTGGCCAGGGCGGGAAGGGCTGGGGTGGGGGGAGGTGTCCTCCTCATCAGACTGGTGTGTGGTGGGCATGGCAGTGACAGGAGAAACAGCGAATGGGAAGTCACCCGCTGGGAGAGCCAGCACCTAGAGACCAGCAGACACTGAACCTGACCGAGGGGAAAGTCATTGGGCCCAGGCTAAAACAACAGGTGGAAAGATCGAGGCCACTGTGCACACACTTGGAATCCGTCAGGCTAATCGCGGGCAACCAGCAGGTGTTCGGAGAAGAATGACTAAGATGATGGAAATTCTGCAAAATCGCATCTCTAAGGATCACCTGAGGAGTCCCGGAAAATCACAGGGAGAATACTCAAGGGGAAGGAGATTTTCAAATATGTGAGAATTTCTCACATGACCAAATTACAACAGCAGCAACAATGGACCAATTGATTTTTTGGACATCTGTTTCCAGCAATCTAACAGATTCTATTCTTTGTGCAACCATGCCCCCTGAAACTGGAAAGTCTGATAAAATATTAGAACTTGAGGCTGGAGCGATAGCACAGCAGGGAGGGCATTTGTGTCGGACGTGGCTGACCCGGGCTCAATCCCCTGCATCCCATATGTTGCCCTGAGCACTGCCAGGCGTGATTCCTGAAGTACAGCGCCAGGAGTAACCTCTGAACATTGCCAGTGTGACCCAAAAAGCCAGAAACAAACAATTTATTCCAACCTTCACTACTGAGCTAAATATAACGGAATACACTGAAGTCCCAAACAAAGATCAAAAATTTTGTGAATCGGAGCCAGAACGTGAACGCAGGAACAAGGCTCACAGGGTGCTGACCCACATCCCTCCCACGCTCCAGGTGGGGCGCCCAGAGCTGCAAGGGAAACCCCCGCCGGCCCATCTCCACTAACGAACTCACCTTCCATCTTTCATCTCCCGACAACCTGCCCAGACTTTTCTGCATCTGCGAATAGCTACGCCTTTCTAATAGCTGTCCTAATCACCACGCCTTTGCAACCTGCTTTTTTCCTACTTTCAAAGACCAGTTAGATGGGTCTTAGCCCTTGCCACCCTCGAGGCTCCATGCCCCTTAACCTCTATTGCGCTTTCTCCTTCTGGGCATTTCATCCTAGTTGATTTGTCTTGTTCCACAAATCCGACTTAGAACCACGTCAATATTTTACGTGGTTATAAATAAACCACGGATCCTTGGACAAATGACTAATTTGGGGTGAGGGAGAGAGCCGAAAAGCGCCAGAGGACAGGCTGGCACTTGCAGGTACCAGGTTCTGAATCCCCGGCATGGCACGCCTCCCGCGAGCACTGCCCCCATGGCACTGGCATCCCAGAACCAGCATTTCAGCACCAACTGGCAGGCTCATGAGGCTGGGAGTGTGGCCCCTGCCCCAGCCCCTGGAGCCCCCTGAGCATGATCTGAAGGTCTCCCACCAAAACAATGAATGCAAAGGTAGTTTCCTCCTCCACATCCCAAAAAGGGGAAAGGAAAGAAAGATTTCAGGGATTCCCCGAGTCACGCAAAAAGACTCAGGAGCCAAAATAAATGTTTCCATTAGACAAAAAAGGGCTCATTTGAGCATCATTCGGACTGACACTATAATGAACTGGAACTGGAGCACACAGTATTCTACAAGCAACCTGCCCTCCACAGATAAACAATGATTTCCCATTTTTAGTATTATAATGCAGTTACAATTAGATGTTCATGCCCATAAACACACCTTTTTTTTCTAGGCTCTAACTTGAGCAGCATTTCGAGTTATAAGGTACCACTGTCTCCAACAGCGAGGCCAACTTGCTCTGCAACTGTTAAGAGTCACGGAGACTCTGAGCGAAATCCAGTGTGCTGGGAATCAACCTTCCTCTCCCTTCTAAATCACCTTTCATCCAAATACCTAGAGGGAACCCGTGGCGAGGTTCCACCCATGCTTCATCTTCAACAGTTTTGAAATTTTTTTGGACAAAGTCACGGTCACGGTCCTCCCGTTGTTCATCGATTTTCGCGAGCGGGTCCAGTAATGTCTCCATTGTGAGACTTGTTACTGTGTTTGGCATATCGAATACATCACGGGTAGCTTGCCAGGCTCTGCCGTGCGGGCGAAATACTCTCAGTAGCTTGCGGACAAAGTATGTGGGAGTAATGGTTTTGTTAACGAGTGTTCCAACAGGTTAATTTTTCATGGTGCCAACATAACAGTAACAATTCATGGGGGGTGAAGTAACCATGCGGTGATGCCTTCCCATGGACCCTCTGATCAATCTCCAGACTTCAGGGATCATAAAAGCACCTGTTAGAATCAGTACTTGAACACAGTTATCTCTGCAGCTGACTGGAGAACCCATCAGGCCTGTGTGAGCTGAGATCTCATGCTTTCTAGTAAAGGTGACACTGCCAAAGAGATTACCCACACGACGAACAATGACGATTCAGGGAAGTTCACAAGCAGTTCTGCAAAGTGTGTTTGTCTCCAGATAGGAATCCTCCTTGTTCCTCTAGTTCTAAATGGAAATTGACTTTGTAGCAAAATAATAAAGTCAATCACTAACTCATGTAAAATTATTAGTATATTTTTCAAAAACTACAAGATGGAGTTGGGGGCTAGGGACATGTGCCCAAGCTTGGTTTGATTCCTGGGACCACACGGACTCCCAAGTTCCACCAGGTTAAGCCTTAAAGGTGAAGAAGTCACTCAGCACCGTCACGTATGGCCAGGAGGTCACTCAGCACTGCCAGGTATGGCCACAGGCCACTGAGACCTTCCAGTCGGCCCAAATGGTCTCTAGACCTGCAAATTCCCACCAGTGCATCATGCTCAAGCCTTGACCAAAAAAGTCTATGTATACACATACAAAGCTACACGAGTACACACACACACACACACACACACACACACACACACACACACACACTCTCTCTCATCTATATGAGATGGAGGAAAGAAGACAGTAAGGGCTTGTCATCTGGCATGCACACATTGCTGGACTCAGTTCTGGGTACGATCTCCAGTATCGCAGGGACCCAAACACCACAGAGCATGACCCCAAGCACCAGCAGATACAGCCCCAAAACTACATTAAAAAGCCTACGGGATGGTTTGCCAAAATTATAAAGGTAAATGGGCAGGCAGAGAGGTGGGTAGCTGGATACAAGAGAGGAAGTAATAGTAAGTATGGCAAATATGCTAGTGTTCTTCCCATTACAGCAACTTTAAAAATGTCTAAAACATTGGAGAGAGGGGAATATAAAGTAATAAAATGGGAGTTGAACACCCAAGAATAGTTGAGATAAGTGCCAGGAGGTCTGCTCCAGGGCTTGGAAGCCAACGGCACTTGTTGGGGGAAAGGCAGCTCAGATAGAGAAGGGAACACCAAGTAATGGATGTTTTGAGAACTCGCTCGGGATGCGAGATACACGCTGAAAGTAGACTATAGACCGAACACGATGGTCACTCAATACCTCTGTTACAAACTACAAGACCCTGAAGAAAAGAGTGAGCAAAAGGGAATGCCCTGCCACAGAGGCGGGGTGGGTAAGGGGGTTGGGGTGTGGGGGTGGGAGGTCTACTAGGATCATTGTGGTGGAGAATGGGCACTGGTGGAGGGATGGGTACTCGATCATTGTATAACTGAAACCCAAGCACCAAAGTCTGTAAGTCTACAATTGTACCTCATGGTGTTTCACTAATAAAAAAAAAAATAAAAACAAAGAACAACAACAAAACATTGAAGAGAAAAAAATGTCTAGGCAAAGATGTTGACAATCTATAGGATATAAAATTTTAAATGTAAACTGTAAAAGTTTCTGTCATAGTTTCTAACTGCTACTAATCTGAATCTTCTATGAGGATCACATGACTTGTATAATAAAACATTTTTACAATCTCTTCTGCTTTAAGTTGGAAGCTCTGATTTTTGGGTGCCACCCTCAAGACACTTACACATCCACAGGAGTCGGGTCCCCCGTTGAACAGAGAGCATGATATCCTCACAATCTCCGCCTCTATCTTACGCAGTCCTGGGAAAATATCTGGATGCAGTGGATTGCTCCAAGCAAAATCTCCATAAGCCTGAGAAGAAATCAACCAGATATAAAGTGAAACTTCTATACTGCAGAGGACAAAGAATCATACGCTAAATGAAAGGCACAATTTTAGAAACCAGGAAAATGATAACTCATGTTCCCCAACCTAAAGAAAAACCAAAAGAGTATAGGTGACTTATATGCAAATAAATTATTATACGGTAAAGAGAAGAATGAATGTGGTTTTAAAAACATTGATTAAGACAGCTTCCGGGTGTCTATAAAACCCAGCTCCCGGCCACAAATGCGGCCGCGTGACAATCTTATCATCTCATTTCTACTTTGGACAACCTGGCAGGCCACCGAATATAACCTGCCCACACGGCAGAGTCTGGCAAACTCCCCATGGCCTACCCAATATGCCAAATACCAGTAACAATGAAGGGTCTCATTCTCCTAACTCTGAAAGAGCCCTGAATATGGTACTTTTTAAAAAATCTCAGGGGCAGGATGAAGGAGACGTTACTGGGGCCTGCTCGAGGCAATCGATGAATAACAGGATGGTCGTGATCGTGATTAAGACAGCAAATGGTCCGGGTTTGAAATCTTAGCTTGGCCTCTCTTTCCAAGTGTTTAATCGTGGGTCAAATATCCTCTCGGAAGCTCAGTTCCCCACGTGCTGAATGAGACGAATGTGACATCTAATTGTTTCAGCAATAAGTAAAGAACATAATCCGTGTAAAGCACTCAGCCAAGGGAGTGAAGCCACTATAGTGTCGTAACAGATACAGGCCCACGTGGTGAGGGGCTTTCCAAACACCCTACGGGGTCTCGAAGAGTCTTTTAAGGGGATTGTTTTGAGCAATGAGAAAAGCAGTGGAGTTGAGGAAGAAAAGGAAAATCATAAGAGCAAACGGAGTCACGGCTGCTGCAGGGAAGTAAGGGTGGGAGCTAGATCCGGAAAGGCTTCCACGTGCCACACAGGGTATCACGCACTGGAGCCCAAAGAGCAGGAGCGCCAAGGAGGGCTCTTCAGGCGCAGAAGCAGGATCAGGGCAGCTGTGAAGATTAAGTCAAATCAACCTGCAGTGTTTGTGAGGGAGGAGTAGGTTCCAAGTTTGAAGACCAGAGAGACCATCAGCCCCCCGGCAATTGTATCTGACAGTGCAGAGAATGAATCTGATATGGAAGGGAGGGGGAGGAGGAAGGAGAAAAGGAAGAGGAAGAAGAGAAAGAAGAGGAAGAAAAGGAAGAAGAGGAAGACAAGGAAGGAGTAGCAGTAGCAGCATAATTTATTCATTAAGTGTGATTATTGCTTAGTACTGCTTAGATTCAGATTATTTGAGACAGGAAGTACTAGGAATTAAAACCAAGTTTCCAATTCCGTGCCTCTTCTTATGAAACAAATTATCTTCTCATCAATCTCAAATGCTGGGACTCTCCTCCCTAGCAATCCACCTTCTGCACAGGCAGTGACATCAATGTTACTAATTTCAAAGACAAAAACGTGTTTTATGATCTTGTACGTTTGCATCTATGAGTGGGAAACTTTCTAAACTTCTTTACTTTTAACGATAACATTTGAGCAGTTACAAAAGGATAGAGAGAACACGGGGTCCCCTGAGCTGGCAGAGCCCACAGCCCCTCACCTTCACCAGGAGTTCCGTCAGCTTCTCCTCCCCATTGTACACTGCCCCCGAGGCGCGCCCTTCTTGCCAAAAGGCATCTGCAGAGAAAGTCAAGACCAGTGCGTCAGTAAGTAGGAGCCTCTGGGATACAGGTTCTCAAGAAGACCAGGAAGGAAACTCCTCTGAGAATGAAAAAGAATTATTTTTGAAAGGATATTTTTTGTATCGAATCAAGAAAGAATTAAAAAAAAAACTATCAGAGCGAAATCTCTTCAATTCCTATAACAACAATGTGAGAAAGAGAAGAGACTCGAACCCAGTAATAACATCTTCATCCCTGACTGCATTTTTTTTTTATTTTGCTTTTCGGGCCACACTTGGCATTGCACAGAGGTTACTCTAAGCTCGTGCACTCAGGAATTACTCCTGGCGGTGCTCAGGAAACCACATGGGATGCTGGGAACCAAACCCGGGTTGTCTATGTGCAAGGCAAACGCCCTACCTGATGCACTCTCTCCACCCCCACCGACTGCCTTCTTTCAGCAGAAACGTTCCCGTTGATTAGCGTCATTTTCTGTTCTCTCCTTGCCTCTACTGGTCCTTTCTGACCAAAGCTCTCTCCTGTCTCTTCCTACCTCATCGTTAGAAGCGTGGGGAATGTTATCAGCAGACTTGGCAGAAAAACAAAACAAAACAATGGAAGTGTGCCATTTCAGTTTGCGATTATCAGAGAAGGTGCCAGGAAACCAGATCCATGACCAGACAAAACTCACTGAGAAACCCCCGGCCCGAGGGCCCCTCCTTCCAGTGAGCCTGGAATCACAGAGAAAATTAGCCACCTGCTTCCAGACACCTATGCTAAAGCAAGCAGCTTCAGGAACATGCGCAACATTGGGATAAACTCAAAGGGGACCGTGGGTCAGTCCAGGGATAAGAGCTACCTTGAGCGCAGCTGATCCCAGTTGGATGCCTGGTACTGCATATGGTCCCCTGAGCCTTGCCAGGAGTGAGCCCTGAGCACAGATCCAGGAGTAAGCCAGGAGCACGGCTGGGTGTAGCCCCAAACCAAATCGAACCAACAACAACAAACTCTAAAGAAAATAATTCCTGACCAGAATATAAGGTTTAGCTTTCCACTTTCTGTCTACATTCTACATTCTCCTAATAAATTTGGTGATGTGGGTATCTTGGATCCTTCTGTGACATGACTGTCCGATTTAGGGTGGACAGTGACAAAGCTATTACAGAAACACTCCAACTAAAAACCACTCTAGGAAGTGTACGCCTGGGCTCTATAAAAGTAAAGATTTTCAGCTCCAACAAGGAAGCAGAGGCTGCAGTTGCAAATACCCAGGCAAATCCTTCCCTCTCACCCAACCGCAGCTCTGACTTGTGGCCCGTTTGCTCTGTCCCTTCCCTGAGAAGCAGCTAGTCTATACCGAGGATGTCTTCGGAGCATTGCTTGCCAACTTTTCAAAAACAGGAAGCATGGTTTCTGGTTTCATTTCCTGTTCTTTGGTGCTACAGAGTATGACAATGGGCAGTGACTTAAAAATGGGACAGGAAGATAGACAAAGACAGCAACTGGACTTCGGAACCAAGTGGTCTTGACTTGATGCATCTCAGAGCACTCATCCCTACTCTGAGCATCATAAATCCTGGACCACACCTAATTTGGTAGCACCCAACATAAAAAGCTAAACAGTCAATTATAGATACTTTAGGAACTTGTTGAAATGCACTGTAGTACCCTAGCCTGGCAGACCCGGGTTTGATTCCTGCACCCCTCTCGGAGAGCCCAGCAAGCTACCCATGACATATTCGCTATGCCAAACACAGTAACAACAAGTCTCACGATGGAGACGTTACTGGGCCCACTCGAGCAAATCGATGAACAACGGGAGGACAGTGACGGTGACAGTGACCCTAGATTGGATCTTAGAAGGGGACGGGGGAAGGGACATTAGTGAAAAAATTAGTGAAACAGGAAGAAAAACTTATAATTCAGCTAAAAAGATTATACCAACATTAATTTTTCAGTTTTGGCCAAGGCATCAAGTTTATTTCAGATGTGAACATCGGGAGAAGCTGGCCAAGCTGGCAAAATCTCAGAATTCTATCCGTACATTTTCTACAATACTAAAATCATGCCAAATGGAAACGCTGACCTTTTTTAAATTGAATTACATGAGTTACAAAGTTCCTCATGATGGAGTTTCAGGCATACAACCTGACACCATCCCTTTACCGGTGTCCGTTACCCACCATCGATGCCACAGGTTAGCCTCAGGCCCCCGGCCTGCCTCTATGGCAGACACTGTTCTTCTCCTTCTCCCCCCCCCCCCCACCCCCTTTACGCTCTGTGCTTTACAAGACGGTTACTGAGAGGGTCTCCTGCACCTCGCTGTACCTCCTTTCAGCCCCTAGTCCCGGTCCACAGTGACCACTTCCCTCTTCCTTCACTGAGCGTCGTCAAGGTCCCTTCCCTGACATGTCCCCCCTCCCAGCCCCCAGACCTCCCCAGGCCCTGCTCAAGCTTCTCCTGAGGACGAGTTCTCTCTCCTGCTGTTTCTGCTGCCTTTGGACCTTAGTTACGCTGGGGCTGCATTTCTCTATATCCCCCACACGAGACCGATTATTCGGAGTCTGTCCCTCTCCCTGACTCATTTCACTCGGCATGATAATCTCCAAAACGCTTACTTTTAAGAATATGTTTTCTTGACATCTTAATATGTAACCAATATGCATTTGTGTTAGAATTACTATTGACATTGACTAAGCACTTAATAATATCCAGGTATCATAAAGGCATCCTGTCAGGCAAATACTACCATGATCACACCAAGTCCTCACTTCGCACTGCCAAGAGTTCCTAGACAAAGTTCCGAGAAGCCGGTGAGATAGTGTGCGCGCAAAGCGTGCATCGTACCCTTGGAACTGTACTCCTTGAGTTTCTCCAGCACGGCCGTCGGGCTCAGGCCCTGCGCGGGGAGAGCCTTCACGTACTCTTGGTCCACTTTCAGGAAGGACATGTTCTTGTTAATGTCATCCTTGGCCTTGTTCACCTTCTCCTGGATCTGTGAAGGTGAAAAGGACCAAGGTGAGGACAGGCAAGAAGACGGCAGAGAGCAGAAACAGAGCTGGGCGGTGAGGGTGACAGTTCCTCAGACAGGGTGGGCCGAGGATGTCTGCCCCTTAGATACGCAAGGCGCAGGCCCCCTTCCCTGGCTCCACGGGGCCCTGAGCACTCCCAGACAGAGCTCTGGCGATGGCCTCCGAGCGCTGCAGGGACGGTACGGGCCCCTGAAATCTGCCAGGAGGAATCTCGCGCCCCCCCAGAAATAGAGATGTGACATTCTGACAGTTCAGCTGTCTTCTGACAGGTGCAACCTTTTCTCAGAAGTCTTAATTGTTGTTTGCTTCTTTGGGGGTCACACCCAGCAGTACCCAAAAGGTACTCCTGGAGCAGTGCCTGGGGGAACATGCGATGCCAGGGACAGACCCTGGGGTGGACCCTGGGGTGGTCCTTGGGGTGGTCCCTGGGGGTGGAGCCTGGGATGGACCCTGGGATGGTCCCTGGGGTGGAGCCTGGCATGGCCCCTGGGATGGCCCCTTGGGTGGACTCTGGGATGGCCCTTGGGGTGGACCCGGGCTGCCTGAGACTTCTGGAAAGTCTGCTTTCTCTCAGGTTGTCTGCTTGTGTTTTGTTTGGGGCCACACTTGGCAATGCTCAGGGCTCACTCCAGGCTCTGTCCTTAGGAACTGCTCCTGGCGATGCTTGGGGGAAATGTGATGCTGGGGACTGAACCCGAGTCAGCCGCATGCAAGGCTAGCGCCCTACCCACTGTGCTATCACTCCAGCCCATCTGCTTTCTCCCCGAAGGCCAACGATGCACAGTCTCTCCCACCGTCTCCTCTGCCCGGTTGGCTCAGCCACTGTTTGGCTCGGTTCAGTGTTTGCTGGCATCAGCGCCTCTCTGAGGGCAGTACCTGGACTTTGCGCCGGCCCTGCCAATACACTGTGTATGCTAAAGAAACAAAGGACAGACAGACAGCGTGAACTGCAGCCAGAAAGGGAGTGGTCAGCAGGTTAGAGATTCTGGTCCTTGTGCACCGGGAGGTCTCTGCGAGGCCGAGTGACTCCCCACAATCGTGCAGGTAACACTGGGGGGTTTCTGGAAAGATGGCAGGGAGAGCTGGGTACGGAGCCCAGCAGTGAAGAAGGCGTCTGATGCGTGCTTGCCTGGTAGGTGTGAGGTGCCAAGGTGGGTCCCAGTCAGAACAAAACCAAAATTGTATTTTATGTCCTCAGAAAGTCAAAAGCACTGCTTGTCTGTTTGTTTGGGGATGGGATGGCTCCACACAGAGTCCAGGAGGGGGTCCTGGGTTCCTCTGGGCCTCCTCGGTAAACTGGGTCAGTGGTTCCCTGCAGGATCCTGAGGCTGCTGCTCGGGCCCTGGGTGCTGAGGCCACCGGGCGGTGTTGGGGGCTTCCTGGCCATGCCCAACAAAGCTCAGGAGACCACGTGTGCGGGGGTCACAAACCCAGGGGTGCGTGCCGGGAGCGCATTCTAACCACTGTACTCTCTTCCCACATAGCACTTCTGATCCTTAAGTGTGCTGGGAGGCGCTAGCACCCCTTCTGCTATCTAACTGATCACTTCTGGCCACTTCTCTCCATCCTTCCCCAGCTGAGGGACAATTTTCTTGCACTCACTCACTCAGCTCAGGTGAGGTATCACTGTGGGTGCTGACATGGAGGGAGCGAAAATTTCATTCCAGGGGGCACCAGGGGCAAAATCTCCGGGTCTCATGAAGCTTCTCCTTAGCAGTAGAGACATAAAATGAAAAAATAAAAGAGTGCTGTGGTAGGGAAAAGGGCAGAGGCCGGGGGACGGAACCAGCAACTCGTGATGAGAGGCTCAAGGATGGCAGGATGGCAGAGTGGCACGTGCCACAACGGCGTGTGCTCTGGTGCTACCGTTTCAGCAGTACAAAAGGCCACGGTGGGGCCAGAGTGATGGTGCAGTGGGGAGGGTGTTTGCCTTGCACGCGGCCGACCTGGGTTCGCTTCCCAGCATCCCATATGGTCCCCCAAGCACCGCCAGGAATTCCTGGGTGCAGAGCCAGGAGAAACCCCTGAGCCAAACCATCAGGGGTGACCCTAAATGCAACAAACCAACAAACAAACGAAAACATTGCAAGGCCAAGCTTCTGTGCATGCCGCCTTACACACTGATTTCTTCCCTCTAGCTGTGGATGCGACAATCCAAGAGTGCCCCTTGCACATGGCCCTTCCACAGGGAGCACCTGTAACCCATTCTGTAACAACCAAACAGTGGCATGTAGGAAGGGTCACTTGGGCTGTGGTGGGTAGGCTGTGGGCAGGTGTTTTTCAAGTTATAAATAAAGAACTACACTTCGGGCTCTGAGAGATAGTACAGCGGGTAGGGTATATCCTAAGTTTGATCCCTGGCACCCCGTTTTGTCACCCGGGATTCTACTAGGATCGACCCCTGGGGACAGAGGCAGGAGTAAATCCGAAGCAAGGCAGGGTGTGGTTCCAAAACCAAGAGACCTTTGCTGCGTGAGCGGGGACAATGGAACGGCTAAGCACTATGACTGCCGAGTTTCCGTCCACAGACCTGAGGGCTGTTACAGAAACAGTATCAAGAGCACAACACTTTCCACCCCCTAATTCTTGCCTCAGAATCTTTACTCTATTACCCAACTTCTGTTTCTTCACAGTACTGATTTCAAAATGTTCTCCTTACATATTTATTTGATGTCATCTTTCCCATTCATGTTACCCAGGGAGAATTTAGTGGTGCTCATCACTAAGCCCCAGCACTCAGCAGAGTGCCCGGCCTATTGGTGCCAGATAGACATGTCTGGTTTTCAGGCCTCACCCAACAGTGCTCAGGGCTGACTTCCGGCTCCAAACTCAGGCATCACCCCTGGCAGGACTCGGGGGGCTACATGGGGTGCTGGGGACCCAACCCAGGTCAGCAGTGTATAAGGCAAGCACCTTACTTGCTGGACTATCGCTCCAGTCCCTCAGTAAACGTTAACAAGGAGAATGCAGTCAATGAATGGAACACACTATACACACAGGCCTCAAAGTGACCTTCAAAATAAACTTTCAATGTTGAACAAACATTTAATACTGTTCTTTTATCAACGTCCGACTAGGTCCCAAGACCGGGGAGAGCCCTGCAACTACATGTTTGTGCTACATGGCCTGCACAAAAACGTCTGAACCTGGGACCACAGGCCTCAGCAGTGGGGCCATGGCCTTGAGAGGCCCTGAGCGAGCACTGTCACAATGGCCCTCATGGGGGCCTCTTGGACGGGAGCAGGCGTCTTCTCTCTCTCTGCCTGCCCCAGATGAAACCCGGCAGCCACAAGCCTCCAGAACCCAATAGCCATCACCTTCACAGCTGATCTTCACAGGCTCATCCTGGGCCCCCCATGCAAGAGAATAAATCCCCTTAAAACCCAGGTATGCGGGACCAGTGACTGAAAGGGGTCAGGCCTCAAGGGGTCAAGACTGGGCTGTCCCTTCCCATCTTCCTGCCCTTCTGGGGGTCCTGGCTGTCACCCACAAATTGCCTCTGGGCATCATTTAGCACATTAAGGGCCATGATCCAGAGACTCACCAATGAATCTCAGAACCCAGCAGCTTGATGCAGGGATAGCTCTGGACCCCAGTTGTTTAAATATTTAGAATTCCAGGAGTGAGCAGCCACAAAAGCGGCCACATGACATCTCATACATTTTTCATTTTTTTGCTTATTTTTTGAATTGTGACACAGACCATTACAGACATTTTATACTATTTATAACAAGCAATACAAAATAAATTATCTAGCATCTGCCTGTGGGTCAGGCTTGAGTGGTGGTGGGAAACTTCGAAATAATGGTGGTGGGAAGGTGTAATGGTGATGGGACTGGTGTTGAAATATTGAATGTAATCAATTATTGTGAACAACCTTATGAAAATAAAATTTAAAAATTAAAAAAAAATAGATGGCCCTGGTGGGGCGGGAGCTACAGCACAGTGGATAGGGCGTTTGCCTTGCATGCAGCCAACCCGGGTTCAATCGCTGGCATCCCATAGGGTCCCCAGAGCACTGCCAGGAGTAATTCCTGAGTGTAGAGCCAGGAGTAAGCCCTGCCTGAACATGGTGAGGTGTGACCCAAAGGGGCGGGGGGGAAAGATGGTCTGGGTGGCCCTCAGCACCACAGGACAGCACAGGCCAGCTCCAGTTATCAGGCTCTGGAACGGAACCAGCAGGCCCGCAGATCTTGCACTGCAGGGACAGGGTCCCCAGAGGCTGGGCTGAGCTCCGCTTGGTTTGAGCCATGGAGGGGGGGGGGGGGGGATCAAGAAATAAGGAGGAACTGTCATCCTTGGTATTTTAGTCCATCCCTTGCTCCTCCCCTCTGCTGTACCGCTTACTAGAAAGACGAAAGCAGACTTAACTCAAAAGGATGAATCTAGTTTGGAGAGCAAATTGCTGCTCTTATTCCCTTCCCCACCACCACAGTGCTCCACCCTCCCCAGGAAAGGCACCTGAAGACGGGCAGATATGAGAACAGAGTTCTGGCCAAAGCTAGTACCTTTGGGGGCTTAGCCTGGAAGGGGTGGAAATGAAAGGCAGAAGTAAAAGATAGCTGGAAGGCAGACAGCTGGGCAAAGTTCAGAGGAGGAGAGGACCAGGATGCTCCAGGAGCCTCTGCAAGGGCTTCCTGCCCTGTTTATCTTCCAGAATGATAAGAAGCCAGTGGGAGGGGTGGAGAGGTGACTTACTGTCAGCACGTAGGGGTGGGAAGGATGCAGGAATATGCCAGAGCGACAGGTACAAAGGGCAAGGAAAGAGTCTGTTATCGACATTTCTAAGCTTGGAGCCCACAGGCCAGCCTGAATCTGACCCCCTGCTGGTGTCTGTCAAGGAGCCAGGCCAATGCTTTTACATACGATTCGGCTGCAAAGTCCTCATGTCCCTTTGCCAGGCCCAAATCTAAAGCCACAAATATACCCAGCCCCGGGAAGGTCAACACTAGATTAAGTCCTCCTCTGACTCAGGACAAAGTGACGTGCCATAGAAGTGTATTGCCGAAAAACATCCCTCGGCTCAGCATCTACTGGGGGTTTCATGTGCTCAGGATCCAGGCACTAGCAAACAGGCGCTGACACGAATGAATGATGGCTTGTCTAAATCTAGTCCAGTCGAAGACTGCTCCAAGGCACTCGGTCTGTCCCTTCGGTGGGGCTTCCTCATGGGTTTCCGCATGACAGATGTCTCCTCCCTCCTTTGGTCAAGGAAATGGGAGAAAGGGTGGAGCCACATTCAACAGCCTCAACACTCCTGACCTTCGAAGCCAGCCGGTTCTGTCTGGACGGCTTCTCCTGTGCATTGCAAAAGCTTCAGCAGCACCCCTGGCCGTGACCACTGGCTAACACCAGCAGTACTCTGCAGGGGCTCCTGTTTGCTTGTTTGGGCCTGCTCTCGTGTTCAAAGGGGGCATCCCCGGGGCCGTGCAGCCTGGAGGTGCGAACCTCATGACTCTGTGCTCTGCCCCCTTACAGAGCTCAGGACCAGCAGTGGGTGCCGGGGACTGAACACGGGGCCTCAGCCGTGAGGCACGTGCACCACCATTCGCCCACTCTCCAGTGCCTACCACCTCATGTGCCCAGACACTGCCCTGGGCCAAGAAGAAAGGTGTCCCACCGTGATGGAGGAGGGGAGGCAGACACCACTCACCTTTCGGCCAATAATAGGCATCCTCCTGCAGAGCCGCAAACATTTCTTTTTAAACCGTGACCATAAACCTGAAAGAAAATCAGCAGTTCTGTTATTCAATCGAACTTCCACGGACCTGGTGTGCCAGTCACAGTGTCAGATTCGACACGTCTCCTCTACGCATTACTCGCCTTCAGAATGCAAATGGAGAATTTCGTCCCTTTAAAAAGCAGTGTTGGGCTGGAGCAATAGCACAGCGGGTAGGGCATTTGCCTTGCACGCGGCCGACCCGAGTTCGATTCCCAGCATCCCATATGGTCCCCTGAGCACTGCCAGGGGTGATTCCTGAGTGCAGAGCCAGGAGTAACCCCTGGGCGTCACCAGGTGTGACCCAAAAAGCAAAATAAATAAATAAATAAAAAGCAGTGTTTTTGATTGTCACCCATTGCCTCTTTTACAAACCACAACACCCAAAAGGAGAGAGAGACAAAAGGGAGTGCCCTGCCACAGAGGCAGGGTGGGGGTGGGGGGATTGGGGGTGGGAGGGATGCTGGGATTAGTGGTGGTAGAGAATGGGCACTGGTGGAGGGATGGGTACTCGATCATTGTATAACTGAAACCCAAGCACAAAAATTTGTAAGTCTACAACTGTACCTCATGGTGTTTCACTAATAAAAAAAAATAAATAAACAAATAAAAACTGTTTTAATTTAATGACGTTTGAACAAGTCATATATTTATGTGGTTCAAGGACACAGTGAAATCTCTCACCCTCATCCATCCTCCAACCCCCTCATCCTAGCCTCAGGCAAACTCTATTATTAACGTCTACAAGTATCCCTTTCCGCATATTTAAGTAGGAAGAAAGAAAAAATCTTGAGGCCAGGGATGTGGCTCAAGGGGCTGGAATACATGCCCCAAATTCAATCCCTGGTTCTACATGGTCCCTCCAGCACTGCCAGGTCCTAAAATAAAAACATACATAGAGTTTTTAGCATATATATATGCTAATTGCCTCTCCTTTTATCCACAAAAACAGCACATTCTGACACTGTTCCAGACACTGTTTTCCTACAGTGTCTAGGAATATTAGACGAAAGATATAATAGTTTTACCTGCAACATGACTCCTAGAGTTTGGCTGGGCAGAGCCGGCCAGATGGTTTGGTGCTCGGGGTCACCAGTGTGACCAGTAATCTTTGGGGAACCAGGTGGCAGGGATATCATTGAGGGCCCTGCACGGGTGCTCTCCCACATGGGGCTACATCCCAGCCCCATCACTCACCTTCACAGCAGCCCATCACGTGGGAGTGCCATGATCTCATGATCTGTTTAACCTACCCTTCCTAGAACACGGCTATTACAAAACAACACTGCCAGTCAGCTTCAGAGGAAATGCCACACTGCACACACACACACACACACACACACACACACACACACACACACAATCGCCATCTGCAGGATCGATTCCTGGTAGCAGGATTATTTCATCACACAACAATGGCCTCAAGAATTCTTCACCCTCCCACTGTTTCCAGATGTCCAACATTTCTCTTCCCTCTCCCCAAACAAATGACTAACCCATGCGCTGTTCTCCAGGCCTGGAGATTTATCTAGTCTCCTGGTCAACACACATCCTGGAAATATTTTCTGGACGTAACAAAGGCTTGGGGAAAATCACGCACACCACAGTCCCTTCTGTTCTGGTAATCACAGGTGCACGGCATCACCATAACCGCTATACCTTCTACTGCATTCAGTCAAATCTTACTGATTTTTTTTTTGCTTTTGGGGTCTCACCCAGCAATGCTCAGGGGTTACTCCTGGCTTTGCACTCAGGAATTACTCCTGGCGGTGCCCGGGGGACCATATGGGATGATGGGGATTGAACCTGGGTTGGCCGTGTGCAAGGTAAACGCCCCATTCGCTGTGCTACTGCTCCGGCCTCAAGTCTTACTGATTTTAAGGCTGGCACTGACACTACCCAGAGCAACCTATTATCAAAGCATCAATCATTTGCTCAAGGCCAGAGCAGAAATTTAATGGAAGCCTTCATTTTTCTACCCTGAAACCCCTAGGTCCTCATGATGTTTCAAATGCAGAAATTTCCAGGTGTTCCCCAGAGAAGGGTAGGCACGGTGTTATGTGAGACACGATGAACTGAGCAGAGAGCCAGGTGCCTTCCTCTGAGGAGCGGACATTCCCCCTTCCCCGGCCGTCAGCTCGCTCTCTACAAGCAGAACCAGCCGGGCCCTCCTTCTGCAGCTTCAACACAACACTCTGCCTCTTGAACGAGCCTTTGCTGAGACTGTACTCCTGCCTCTGAGACGGCCCAGCACCACAGCTGAGCTGATGGAAATGCCGAAAACAAAACCAGGCGACTGAAAAAGAGGCTGAATAGGATGACAACGAGGTGGAACCCCCATGTTTATCATCACTCTTCAGTTCTGAAGCGCGTCCAGGCTTCCTGTGCTCCACACTCTCCGGCAGACCCACAGCTTGCTGCAGGCCCTATTTCCCACAACACTGTCCAATCACGAACAATTTTTCCTGTTTATGTTTTAAATATGACCATAAAAGACTATCAACTGAGCAGAGCCTCGTTGGAGCCTAGTTGGATATCTAACCTGATTGTTATTTGACTACTTTCAACAATGTTAAAGCGCTAAAGATTCAGGGACTGGGACTAGATTCAACAGGAAAATGCTTGCTTTCCACGCGTGAGGCAGGGAGTTCAGTCCCCGTTGTGTGTGTGTGTGTGTGTGTGTGTGTGTGTGTGTGTGTGATGGTCTTTATGTGTGTGTTCCATGGTGTGTGTGTGTGTGTGTGTGATGGTGTTTATGTGTGTGTTCCATGGTGTTGGTGTATGTGTGTTCCATGGTGTTTATATGTATGTTCCATGGTGTGTGTGTGTGTGTGTGTGTGTGTGTGTGATGGTGTTTATGTGTGTGTTCCATGGTGTTCCATGGTGTTTATATGTGTGTTCCATGGTGTGTGTGTGTGTGTGTGTGAGTGTGTGTGTGTGTGTGTGTGTGTGAGATCAGGATCGCTTCCTTCCTTAGTAGATGAATGAATCAACGAGAGAGAAAGCTATCTAAAGCCCAGCAAACTGAGGCTGGTGTCCGTGAGCACAGTAACGTGCTCAGGAGGGAAGGAAAAGTAGCAGCCTCGTGTGATGGAAGCCGAGCCACAGAGTGGCACCGGGGAGAAAGAGCTGACAGCTCAGACAGCTCCCTGACGCGCAGGATACGGAGGACCGGGACACAGGAATGCTCGGTATCACAGAAGGCACCGGCTTCCTGCTGACCCTAGATTACAGAACTGGAAGGAACAGGGAAGAAAAAACACTGAGGGGAGAAGAGGAGGACGGGAGGTAACAGGGACTAGGGCCAAGGGCTTCGGACACTGGTGGTATAGAGGCGAGACATATGGATATATCCAGACCACAAGGGGTGGGAGAGAGAGCGCAGTGAGTAGGGCTCTTGACTTGCGTGCGTCTGAGCCGGATTTGCTCCCTGGGATCCCGTATGGGCTCCGCCGGCATGGTCAGTACAGATTCCTGAGTGCAGAGGCAGGAGTAACGCCCGGGCATTGGCAGGTATGGACCCAAAACAGTAAAAGTAAAGTAAAGGCCCTCCCGTTGATCATCGATTTGCTCGAGCGGGCCCAGTAACATCTCCATTGGAGACTTTGTTGTTACTGCGTCTGGCATATCGAATACATCACGGGGAGCTTGCCAGGCTCTGCCGTGCGGGCGAGACACTCTCGGTAGCTTGCCGGGCTCTCCGAGAGGGGCGGAGGAATCGAACTCGGGTCGGCCATGTTGGCTGCGTGCAAGGCAAACGCCCTACCGCTGTGCTATCGCTCCAGCCCCAAAACACACAAAATAAATAAATCAACCACAGAGACAACAACAGAAGCAGGAGACCAAACTACAACAATCGAACTTTAAAGCGTGCCTGTTGGGGCCAGAGCAACAATTCACAGGGGAGTGGGTCTGTCTTGCACACAGCCAAGTCAGGTTTAATCCCCGGGACCCAACATGGTCCCCTGAGCATGGCCAAGAGTGATCCCTGAATGCGGAATCAGGAGTAAGCCCTGAGCACTGCCAGTGTGGCCCCAAACCAAACCAAAACAGACAAAAATGTCTGTTAAGGAGGCAGAGGGAGGAACCTGGGGACATTGGCAGTGGGAAGCTGACACTGATGGTGGAACACTGTATGCTTGAAGCTAAATTCTAAATAACTTTGTAAATCATGGTGCTTTGATAAAATAATTTTTTTCTTAAACACTGGGGCTGGAGAGATGGTACAGCAGGCAGGGTGCTTGCCTTGCAGGCTGCCAACCACAGGTTAACTGTCAGCACCCCATATGGTACCCCAAGCCGTGCCAGGGGCAACTGATTCCTGAGGACAGAATCAGGTGTAAGCCCTCAGCACAGCCGGGTGTGGCCAAAAATACAAACAAACAACAACAAAACACTAAAGTGGGGCCAAGTGTAGTGGGTAGGGTGTTTGCTTTGCATGTGGCTGACCCAAGTTCGATCCCTGACATCCCATATGGTCCCCCGAGCACCAGGAGGTGTAATTCCTGAGTGAAGAACCCCGCAGCATTGCTGGTGTGACCCAAAAAGCAAAAAACAAACAAACAAACAAAAACCCAACCACTAAAGTACCTCAAACAAGAAGAAAATTGAATATAGCATCAGAAATGAAGAAACCAGAAATGCAATGATGATGTGGGAACATTCTAGAAAGATTCTCTCTGCAGTAAAAACCCTGAAGAGGCAGAGAGGTGATCAGGCTGTGATGAAACGGGACACACCAGCAGAAGAACAACAGTGCACACTCTTCAGGGCTCATGTCCCTTTCACACAGATGATGCCACGCAACTCTCTTATGAACCAACGGTGCGGCGGGCGGTGCTGTGTCCCCTTCACCTGGGAACTGAAGGCACTACTCCTCCAGGTGCTCACCGAGATCTCGGGTGCTTATCGCCTTCTCTCTCCTACACAGTATCTGATTTCGGGTACTGAACTATGACACGGAGTTAAAATCAGGCCCGCGGAGACGGGATGTGAGCTGGCAGAAGTCCGTGAGCGACAACGTGGAGATGCCGTGACCCTGACCTTCCTCCCGTCACCTGCCCTTCTTATCTAGCCCTGTGTCCTCCCTGGGTCCCATCCCTGTGTGCTCCCCTCAAGGGGATTCCAAGTTCCAAGTCTCAATCTCTCGCTGGCTCAGACTTTAGACTCCTCTGGGGCAATATACTAATAATAACCTGGATTGTTTGGTGATATGGAGGGAATAAGAACCCCCATAAGGAGCAAAGTGCTGAAATAATTGGCCATTCTGCCAAAATTATCTTCCATCTCTGGAGAAAAGACAATTGTATCTCTGACTTAAGACAGCATGTGAGGAGGGGCAGAGAGATAGTACGGTGGTAAGATGCTTGCTCTGCACATGCCCAATCTGGATTCGATCTCTGACACCTCCTATGGTCTTTCAAGGACCACCAGAAGTGACCCTGTGCGGAGCAAAGAGGAAGCTCTGAGCACAGCTGAGTGTGTGTGTGGGGGGGGGGGGGGAGGGGGGAAGAAAAATTGGCATGCGAAGTCCTGGGTCTAATCACCAGCACTGCAAAACAGACAAACTCAAATTGCATGTTGCAAAACAGAAATTGTATTTTGTGTGCAATGCGTATTATACTTTATGAAACTACATGTATAAAATCGCAAATAATCAGTAATTTCTTCTTAACCTAAAGAAATGATGTCAATGCAGAAATAATACAGGCACCTAAATAGGGGCCGAAGAAGAAAACTTAAATGTTAGAAAAGGGAAATTCACAAACTGATCATGAACGGACTTCTCCCAATTGGCCTCTCTGAGTCACTGTCCAAACAGCGCACACATCAACAACGTGCTGTCAAAGTTCACTGTCCCCTGATAACAGCTGGATCTATCCAAGAGGACAGAGATCCCAGGGGACTTGTACAGAGATCTCCTGAGCAGCCTGGGATAGGACCCAACATCGAGAAGGCCTCCAGAGGGACCTGTCCTGCGTGTTCTTCCAATTTCATGGGATCGTTACTGAAAATAATCACTGAGAATGAGAGGAATCACTCCTGCCTTGGGAAGTCTATGTGATACGGTTAGGTTCTAGGGAAGAACTCGGAACTGAAAGTGTGGAAGCCGGTGTGATGGCTGTGAACCTTCACAATGACCGGCTTCTGAGAAGTGTTTCTGTATGTGGCAAGTCCCCAAAACTCCGTGGAAGCAGTCACACACAGGGATGACTGTGCGGGTCGGAAGACAAAGCCCCACTTCCATTAAACGGATAGTTTTGTTTTTTGTTTTGTTTTGCGGCCACACCCAGCAGTTCTCAGGAAGATGTTAGTCCTCACTCTTGCACTCAGGAGTTACTCCTGATGGTGCACGGGGGACCATAGGGATGCTGGGGATCGAACCTGGGTTGGCCGCATGCAAGGCAAATGCCCGACCAGCTGAGCTATCGCTCCCTCCCCCACCCCTGCTTCCTCATCCCAATGAACATATTTACAAGTCAAACCAAACCAAAAGATAGAAAAAGTAATCCCATCTGTAAGGCACACTCGCCCGGGGAAGTCCCGCCACGCGCTTCCCGAGGGCCAAAGTACTTACTCTCAGGCTGGAAGACAAACCCATAGAGCCACACGACCAGCAGGGTCCACGTGACACTCCAGGCAATCAGCTCCCAGGGCTCGTACTTGGTGCAATGCCCATTGACATAGTCCTTGGCCTTTGTGGAATAGACCTCCAGAATCTCAAAGTAGGGCTCGAAGGTCTTCTAGAAATACAAGGCGGGAAATAGATATTCAGAGGAGAAATGGAATCTGTTCCTAGTTTCTTCCCAAGTGTCATTCTTCAAGGACCAAGGCCATTCACCGTGTCACCCATCCCTGGACGTATCTTATCATCACTAAACGCCTCATACAGCTTTGCCCCAGTCGCTCCAGTGTGTGCCATCTCTGACACGTGGACTTTGACAAGATTTCTGATCTACTACTTACTCTGTAAAACAAAGGTTAAGTTAGATCATCATTTGATCCTAAAACTTTTTTTTTTTTTGCTTTTTGGGTCACACCCGGCGATGAACAGGGGTTACTCCTGGCTCATGCACTCAGGTATTACTCCTGGCAATGCCCAGGGGACCACATGGGAATCGAACCCAGGTCGGCCGCGCGCAAGGCAAATGCCCTATCTGCTGTGCTATCACTCCAGCCCCTCGATCCTAAAACTTCCGAACCACTGCAGTGTTCTGGGTCCCACTCTCTGAAATAATATTCTCAACATGAATGTCTTTCCTTTCTCTACTTAATTTGAATGTTTTCCATCCTCTGAAGATCAACAAACTGTTTCCATGAAGGGCCAGAGAGGAAATATTTTAAGTTAAGCAGGCCAAACAGTCTGTTACAGACTCAACTCCGCTAGCTTGGCACAAACACAGTCGCAGCTGGGGCAGACAGACAGGCCAAACGTTCCAGCATGCGTTCCTGCATATGCTGAAAGCTGAATTGCATTGAGTTTCACAGATCGCAAAAAATTCCTGAAACAAATAAAAACGTGCAAAATACCATCTTTAGCTCCTAGACTGTACAAAAACAGGCAGTCTTGACACATAGGCAGTGTGGTCTTTTTTTTTTTTTTAAACGAATCACTGTGAGATACACAGTTATAAAGCTGTCATGGTGGGGTGTCAGTCTTACCGTGTTCCAACACCCATCCCTCCATCAGTGTACATTTCCCAGCAAAATGTCCCCAGGTTCCCTCCCATCATCCCTCACCTCCTCTGTGGCAGGCAGGCACTTTTATCTTCTGTCTCTCTTCTCTCTGTCTCTCTCTTTCTCTCTCTCTCTTTCCTTTTGGGCATTGTGGTTTGTGATTTAGGTACTGAAAGATTATCAGGTATATCCCTTTACCTACTTTCAACACTCAGTTCTTGTCCAGAATGATCTTTTCCAACTGTTATTGTGATACTGGTAACGGCTCTATCCTAAATGCCTTTTGTCTCCCAACACACTATGGCAAGCTCCCACCCAACCGCTGACCAGTCTTTCTGGCCCATTTTCCCTGGCCTTGGATATTAGTCTCATATTGTATATTATTTTTAATATTCCACAAATGAATGAAGTCATTCTATACTTGTCCCTCTCCTTCTGACTCATTTCACTCAGCATGACACTCTCCATGTCCACCCATTTATAAGCAAATTTCATGACTACATTTTTCCTGGTGACTGTGTAGTACTCCATTGTGTACATGTAGCAGAGTTTCTTTACCCATTCATCTGTTCTCGGGCACCCGTTCTATTCAGGGTCCTTATTTGACTAAAAAGACTTTCGAAAGCCAGGGGGAGCATCTTTTTTTTTTTATTAAAAAATTTTTAAATAGTGAGACATCATGAGGTACAGTTGCAGACTTACACATTTTTGTGCTTGGGTTTCAATTATACAATGATCAAATACCCATCCCTCCACCGGTGCCCATTTCCCACCACCACGGATCCCAGTATCCCTCCCACCCCCCATCCCCCCCATCCCACCCTGTCTCTGTGGCAGGGCATTCCCCTCTGTTCTCTCTCTCCTTTTGGGTGTTGTGGTCTGCAAAAGAAATATTGAGTGGACGGCTACATGCAAAAAAATGGACTCAGATCTCTGCCTAACTCCATGTACAAAAGTAAGATCTAAGTGGATTAAAGACCTCAACATCAGACCGGAATCTATAAGGTACACTGAGGAAAAAGTTGGCAAAACCCTTCATGACAGAGAGTATCTTTTTTTTAAGCACCCATCACAATTTCACACAGCAAGGAAAAATCCTCCCATCTGAAAATTTACCAAAACCTGTCACTCACAAAAAATTCACCTCTTAACTACTGTTTCCCTTGACAACTGTTCGTGCCCCTAGACAGAGTTGATCACACCGCCTCGAAGTCTGAGTGTGCAATCTGAGTGCACCCTGATTATGCGGTTGGGTCTCAGAAGACAGGTCAGAACTGAGTCATATTTACAATCCCCCAGAGTGCTCTGCACAAAACTGCCCCTTATTCAATTACTTTGTCAACACTCACTAAACACCCCCAGTGTTGGGGATTGAGTTCAGTAGGGAGGGTGACTGCCTTGCACACCCCAATCTGGGTTCAATTCCCAGCACCCGCTATGCTTATTATTATTATTTTTTAAGTCACACCTGGTGAGGCTTAAGCTCCTGGCTCTGCACTCAGGAATTACTCCTGGTAGTGCTCTGGGAACCATATGGGATGCTGGGGACTGAACCCGGGTCGGCAGTGATCGAGGCAAATGCCCTACTCACAGTACTGTCGCTCCAGGCCCCAGCACCCAGTATGGACAGTCCCCTGAGCACTGGGAGGAGTGATTCCTGAGTACAGGGCCAGGAGTAAGCCCTGAGCACCAGAGTGTGTTCCCCAAACCAAACCAACAAACATAAACAACCCCAGTGTTTTAAGTATTAGAGTGGGGGAAAGGACTATCAATTCCATTCTAATATAAAAATATATCATCTGTCAAATTTATGAAAGCATAGATTCTTGTCCACAGAGAGCTTTTATATACGTGTACGCAGATTTACATGCTCGGGCACATACTTACTTAAAATTCTTCCAGGATAAACATTACAAGAAGGACATAAGTGAAGTTTTCAGGCCACTGGGGAAAAATTCATCCACTAGGGGAAGATAAAATTCTGAGGATAAAATCTAAGCTAGCTAAAGGGTGAAAGAATTATCTAAGAATGTTCCTCTCCAATGGAACGGGAGGGTATCCTGAAAAGTGAAATTCGGGTTCACCTCTATAAGTGAAATAAATAAAACTGGGTTCCCCTCTGGAGAAGAATTCATGTCCAATGAGCTCACTCATCTGTAGGCTACAGAGAAACAGGGAACAGGCGGGATGGAAAGAGGACAGGCCCCAGGCCTCTGAAGTAGAAGTGATCTCTCCCGCCTGAGCAAAATAAATCTGAAAGACATTTTTGGAGGTGAAACAAATCAAGGGCTCGTTAACTCATTTGATGGAGGTAGCATGGAGTGGGGCAGACGACAGAGAGCTCCAGTTTGAGAGACTGGTGTTAAGTGGTGTCACCATTCACCGTGACTAAGTAGGATTGAAGCTGGAGAGCTTCGAGAAAAGATAATGATGCACCTTGTGAAGACCTACACGCCGTAGGAGCGTGGAAACTTCGAAGACAGGTGGCCAAGAAATGTTTGCTGAAAACATTCATCTCCTTGGCTCTGATGAAGCCACAGTGTAATTGCCATTAGCCAAGCTGGGTTCCCCAGAGGGCGACCCATGGAAACAACTTATCCGCAACCCCTCTTAGTTCTTGGCGAATATTCCCCAGGGCCCACCGTTGCTATCAACAACTTCAATCTTTCGCAGCAGTGGGAGAGCCAGCAGGAGCTGTGAAGGACCAGCTTCTGATGAATCCTGACATCAGAGGTATGCCAAGGTTCCCAGCACTATCACGAAGCCTCCAAGTGTCAAAACTGAGAACAGGGGCTGGAGCTATAGTACAGCGGGTAGGGCGTTTGCCTTGCAAGCGGCCGAGCTGGGTTCGATTCCCAGCATCCCATATGAGCATCCGAGCACCGCCAGGAGTAATTCCTGAGTGTAGAGCCAGGAATAACCCCTAAGCATCGCCGGGTGTGACCCAAAAAGAAAAAGAAAAAAAAACCTCAAAACTGAGAACAAACCGGATGGGTGAATGCATGATAAGAGAACGATCATTCAAATGAGTCATTTCCTTCTGTGATACCAGTTCCTAATTCATTCAGAAAAATAATGTCAAGCACTGTGAAAAGTTTATAAGTCCTTTACAGCACTGACTAGAAACAGTAACAGAACTACTAGGAAGAGAACAACAACAACAAAAAAAAAAAATCAGCACCAAATACAGACTAATTTAATAGTTCAAAGCCTATTCCGATATGAAGGCATTCCTTGCTAACATTTATAAAATTATGTTCAGCAGCGTCACTTTTTCAGTAACTGCTCTAAGAGATATATTTAGTCCTATACTAAGTTCCTCCCTGGCCAAGGAGTTTTTTTTCCTTTCCCTTCTGCTTTTCAATAAACTGTTCCAGTTCCTAAAAAGAAAAAAAGAAGAAGATAACACGAGTCCTTGAATTCGAAGTCCTTGAAAACATCACCTGAAAGAGCGACACGTTTCTATATTCTCTTACTCCAAAGACAGAATGGGGGCTGGTGAATCTCAATGGACGGTGCTCCTGTTTTGTGACTGGAGGCCTGTGTTCGATTCCCCACAACACAGTCCCCCACACGAAACCCAGGCACTGAGCAGGGTAGCCCCCTGCAAGGTACAGCTCTCGCACAAGAACCCTGACACAGGATGATCCAGGACCCTGGGCAAACCCTAGAGAGTTTTTAAGTAGGCAACCATTTGGTTCTAGAAATGACAACTCTCGGGGCTGAGGCGGTCCTCAAGGGGCCAGCACAAGCCTAGCAGGTGTGAGCCCTGGGACTTGAGGCAGGCCCCAGCATCACCAGGCCTGCACCAGGCCCCCGGGGGACCTGGGTGTAGCTCCTACTGAGTAAGAAGGAAAAAAGAAATGCTACGCCTGGCTCCTGCCCAAGGTTCCACTCAGTTCATACCAAACAAGACAAAGCGAACCCCTGAGCCCCATCTCCCGTGAAGAAGCACCTAGGACACTGGCAGCTTGCTGCATCTCCAGGCTCTGCAGGGTGATGTATGCTGTCTCTGGGGGATGAAAAAAAGGGTGAGCAGGTCCTCAAGGACCTGACAAGTGGCATG